GCCTCTGAGAGGTTTAGTGAATGATGTGCAGCTCTGATGCTCATTTAGCCTGCAAAGTCTGTCTTGGGGTGGTGTCTGCATGCCTGCACACATGACTAACAATATTATTCGCTGGAACTAAACCAACATCAAAGCACCTCGTAATTAGTTTAATCCAATGCTTGTCTAGGTGTTGCTGAAGCAAATGTGAGGCCACTGAACATGAGATCCACATAATAACTTGAGTGCTTTATATTAATGATTGGAAATTAAGTTATTTAGGACATCAGTGCCACTTCGTACCTTGTGCCTGATGGAAACATTATCATGGAGTGAGCAGACATTTAGCAAAAACTAAGTTTAACATCTGCAAGGCAGTAGGAGCTCGAGTTCTGCAGTGATGAGTCTGAACCGCAGAGGGCTATATTCAGAAGAGATCTGGATATTTATGTACACTTCTTCAAAGATCAGATCAAGACAATATGCTAAATCTCTTTAATCTTGAAAGGAGGTCAACAGGAAATTTGACCAGAATATTTAGGGGTTCGGAGAGAGTACTACCCCAGGGTACTAATCCACACTTAATTGTGGAACAAGGACGTCAGGACCAGATTAGAGACCAAGAAGTAATTCATTTAGGACAGAATATAAATCACTTCTTTACACAAAGAGTCGTTTGGGTTTCATGAACAGGCTTCCCAGCAATACTGCTGTGGCTCAAACTCTGAGCACTTTTAGGAAACAGCTGGATGAATATTTCTAAACTAGAGAGCTAGCAAGATGGGCCTTACGAGCGCCCTGCAATCCTTCTCTTGTTCTGACCAGTCTGTTTGAAACAGTAGCACTTTGTGCCATTTAATATCTGAAGCATGTCCTGTGTGATGGCAGGACTCTGACAAACACCAGGTGGTGAACAGTGGCCCCTACGACCTGTTCCAGGACAGCTGAAGAACACTTCTCTCCAGCTGAAGACACCGATAACCCGGCTGGGACATGAAGTTGCACATGTTGCCATGCGGAGACAGCACCTTCTCTACACCTGTCCTGAGTGGGAGGAAACCTGGAGCAAAGCTGCCAGTTCCCTTCAAGAAACCTTCTCTGAGAATTTACATGAAAGTCACTGTCTGAACAAAAAATTGATTCTCAAGCTTAATCGCTTTTTCACATTATCCACATATCAGTATTTTTGGTAATATATACATTTTCTTTTAACTTTAATCAACACACTGAACAGTTGAGAGCATTCCACAGGTGGAAACAGTGGTTTGTACCTGGAAAGAGACTATTTTATTGTATTCCTTTCATGATTTAATTATATAAAGAGTAAAGGTCTTTGAAAGTACTGTACTTTTCATACATCACACGAGTTACACTGAATGGGTCATGAAATTGTAATTTCACAATATTAAAAAAAGGCACAATTCTGAAGACAAAGATCAATACTTAATTTGACTGTACAGTTTGAAAAAACAAGCATAGGACAACAAATCACAATCTCTTCATCTCTGTTGTATGGTTTCATAACGGTCCACCTGGACACGCACTGATTAAATTAAAAGTTTTTTTAATTCAGCATGCTTGTGAAATTATTCAAGGCTCTCAAAATACATTTCATAGACTGTCTCTGAGCAAACTGCTTGATCTGCCGATAAATTCTTGTCTCGACTACCTCCATATTGGAATCTTCCATTTCTCTGTTATGTGGCCGATGTTCTGCAGCGTGAGTGTAGCACCCACCTCCCTGTGAGTGAAACAGGCTGGGCAGAGGATTCCCATCAGAGCAGTAAAATCGACTGCAGTGTAGCAGCAGAGCTCAGCCTGGAACAACCCTGTTTCTCTGGAGGGCTTCAGGGTTTCACTTCATTCTATCAGTACCCGTTAATCAAGTTCAAGGAACAACCTCCATGTTCAGTACGGGGGGGAAGTATAAATACTGACCTACTCAATTAACTTCAATTAAGTTATGAATTCCCTGCGATATCTTAGCACTTGCAAGGAGAATGAGTTACAAGGCATTCATTCATTTTCTAACTGCCTAATCCAGTTCAGGATCGCAGAGGAGAGCTGGAGCCGCTCCCGATAACCAATAGTGCAATGCAGGGACCACCCTGGACGGGACGCCAGACCATCACGGGACACGTGCAGATACAGATACCCACACCAGGGCCAGTCTTCCCAGAAGCCAACTGACCTACCAGTACATCTTCGGACTGTGGGAGGAAGCTGGACCACCCGTGGGAAACCCACGCAAACACGGGGAGAACATGTGAACTCCACACAGATAGCTCCCCATGTCCACAATTGAACCCAGGGCGCCAGCACAGAAAGGCAGCAATACTAACCACTGCACTTCTGTGCCACCTGCTGTTACAACCATGGGTTGTAAATGATCTTTAACTGAATATAGGAAAGGGACACAAGAACAACTCTCCTCGCCAACGCGCACCATCCCGTCTGAGCCCAACCCACTGTCTGCTGAAAGAAGCACCTTGTGGCCTTTGTGGGGGGAGATTCTGACTTAGAGGCGTTCAGGTCGTTCAGTTATCTTCGCATCACAGGCTCTTCATCTAAGCACCCGTGGATCCTCTCAGACTGAGCAGGATCGCTACAGCAACCACATGTCACCAGAGGGGTAAGACCAACCTCATCTCGGGGCGGCCCAGAGGCTCAGACACTGCTGCCAGGACAGAGAACGACACTGACTGGGCGAGGAGGGCTAATTAAATTAATAACGCAAGGCAGAAGAATAAACCTCTCTGCCACACAACAGCAGTTATCTAATCAACCCGTAATTTATTTATAATACAGAATTCTGAATGATTAAATCATACAAAGCTAACAGACCCGACAAGCATTCTGTGAACAGGAAACGCAGCAGAATGTCAGGAGAATGAAGGCTTTGCTGTGACTATACGTTGACAACATCTTATATAATACAGTCCATGCAGAATGTAATCAAAACAGCATACACATTGATAATCCACCATAAACCAAGGTACTAAAATAGTAAAGGCATGTTTCATAGAGGTTTGGGGGCTAATTTACTGTATATTTTAATTAAAATCATCTTCATGTAAATAAAACATTACCGTTATACAGTACTGTACATGTCCACGCTGTGTATATTAAGATGTAAAATGTGTGATTCGCCTTTGCAGCATATACAATGCACATAAAATTCAAACTCCAAACACATTTCAGTCATTAAACAAAACAATAAAAATGTAAATAGGCAAATGATCGACCTCTTCCTTATAAAAATAACATATTTTACATTCTGTTTAAATAGCCTGAATGTAGCATGTTTAAAGTAAGAAATACAAGTCTAAGAGAATAAAGGAGTACAGCCCTGTTTCTCCCTGTGCAAAACATGGCCTTTTTCACCCCAGCAGTGAAAACAGTGCGGCTGTTTGTTGAGTCAAACACAGAAGGCAACGCATTAGATTCAGGAAAGAAGCAAGATTTAGTTTCTGTGTTGTCTATCCCAGTGACTTTCACCTCCTGTTAAATCACCATTTTCTTTCATGTGTACTCAAAAAAACTGATTAGCTCCTGCAAGCTTCATCTTTCCTTCATGTAAAGATTGTCAGACACAACAGGGATAAATCTAATCATGTGGCCTCAATCCTCTGTGATGGATTTCCACATAGCGTGATTTTTCGGACCCATTTACAGTGGAAACAAGGAGTCAAAGTCCGTTATCCAGCCTATCGAGAAGGTGAGCTGGTTCTACAGAGCTGTTGCGTTATATTTAAAAGCCACAACATGCAAACAGGCACAAGGCTTCAAGAGCACAGCAAGTAGCCACATTACGGAAAAGGAAGCACTACAGCGACCTGCACAAGATGTTAATGGACGGCTCTTCTCTCTCCCGGCCTGTCCAAGCACAGCTTGAGGGTACAGGCTTGGCAACACCATGACCGTCTCCCAGCCTGTCCTGTCTCTACTTGGCCTGGGCCACCTCTGCCAGGCATGGCGTCTTGAAGAAGCCGGCGCCCATCTGGCCAGGCCAGACCGGGGCCTCGTGCTGCAGAGGGGTGCGGCAGGGGAAGAAAGTGTGGTGCAGGTTGTAGTTGAGCAGGCAGCTGAGGGAGGCCATGTAGATGTCCGCAAACCTGGAGAGGCGCCGGGAGAAGTACGTGGGGTTGTGGGAAGTCCTGAAGAGGCTCCCGAACTGAGGGTTGAAGATGTCCTTCGTCCTCGACCTGCCAAAAGTCCAATGAAGGCAGGTCTGTTTAGTTTAAGTGCTGTCTGTACCGATAACTGCCTATAAATGGCCGAATATGGAATGTCAACACTTATATCTGTTGGTAGAAATTTTCCTCACTTCCCCCTTAAAAGACAGTCAAGAGTCTGTCTCTGACGTTAAGTTTTTAGTTCCTGTGCATGGGAGCGAAACACACACAGAGATGCTCGGTGTAGTTTTCCCCAAAGTAATTAAACTAGAGCAGTTCTTAAATATTTTTCTTTTATTTATCTTGCTTCCCTGTGCTTACAAGATTGGCAGACCAAACTCACAAAGTTTCTGACCATTATAAAGGGCAGGGCTGTTCAGATGTAGTACCTGTTTATTTGTTACCCATTTAACCACTTTCACAGACTACAGCATCTCAAAAACACTGAATTATTAAATACAAACCCTTTTGGTAATACATTGTTTCTCAGCACTGTATCCCAGCTCGGACTGTAGTTGACAGGATATAAAAAGTCACTTCATGAGCTTTAAACTCTACCAAGTTCTTCCATGAGTCTCAGCCTCAATCACCTCATAGCTTCTCTCTCCTTGATCCACTCCTGCAAGACCATCTGTGACTCAGCATCTCTGTGCACCTTGGAGCAAAGGCAAATAATAATGTCAGATAGTGCCCTTCACAGTACATCAGCACAAAGCACTGTACACTGTACACTGTACAGTCTAATTATAGAGACGGATATACATAAATTAAAATGGCAAATTAAACAACTGCAAACTAGAGGATAAAAATGAGTGTTGACATGGGATTTGAAAGTGCTAACGTAATTAGCTGCTCTACCAGTGTTCAGAACCTAGTTCTGAGAACTGGAAGAAGACCAGTTGGCAGAGCACACAGGATGTGTTGGTGTGTTAACAGGAACTGATATAGTTTAGAGACTATTCAAGCCCTTAGAGGTATGTAGCTCTATTCTGAATTTTAATCTGAAATCCAGTGCAAGGAAGTTAAATCCGATAACTGCTCTGCATTTTTAGTTTTGTTTAAAATCTGGACTGAGTAATGAAAGTGCTGCAAGTTAAGAATTAGTTTGGAAACACCAGCACACACTTCAGTACAGTAAGGACACCTGTAAAAAGCAAGAGCAGGCATTAGCTGTTCTGAAGCAGACAGATTAGACCATTTGGCCATCTAGCTGGTTTTGTAGTTAACACCAGACTGATCTGAAGATCTCATCCAGTGGTTTATTCAATGAAGCCAGGATTTCAGCTTCAAGAATGTGGCTGGGTAGCTGTTCCAGATGCCCATAAGCCCTTGGGCAGAGAAGAGCCCTCTATTTTCAGATATAAACGCTCTTCCACATAGTTTCCACTGGTGTCCTCTGGTTTATGTTTCACTGTTTATCCCTCCGCTGGGCTGAATTTGTCAGTGCCTTTGAGGATTCTGAATACCTGGATCCTGCACTCTTCTAGTAGTCTCTGATTAGGACTAAAAAGCTTGAGCTTGAGCAGGTCATTCCCTTAAGCCCTAGAATGTGTCTGTTTACTTTTCTCTGGACTGATTCCAGAGCAGCAATATCTTCTTTGTAATTGTAGACTTTACACAATATTCTTAATGAGGATAGCGCACTATAGCGTTTTAGCACACGTATCCTTTATATCAGGTGTATGGATGTTAATGTATATATTTATGTTTTTTCATATTTGCAACATCTTCATAAGACTGCCAACATGAGCTTCAGATGCAAGGTTCAGGTCCAAAATGACCTCATGCCTCCTGACCCGAGTACTAAGACTGACTTCAGGAACATCAACAGTCAAACTAGGGTTGACGTACAGTTTATGTGGAGTTGATATGAAGATCCACTTAACATACAACACTGCTCAGTAACTTAAGGGACAGAACCACTTTTGGGCTAAGAGACATTTACCTCTCAAAAACAGCTTTCTTCCTTGGCTGTGAATATTCACATAACTCAACAAACGGTATTTAACGCTGAACAACAAATAGCGCTACTTCAAATAATGCCAGTTACAGCCTGGGCTGATTTTAAACAAGATATCTAAATAATACCTAAATTATTTGTTATTTCTTTACACTAAGACATGCCGAAAATGTGATTCTAGTTCCCTGTATTCTGCAGGCTATGCTGGTCTTTTTCATCTGTATCTCAAGAATAAAAACAGGAGAGCAGTTCTTGGAATGAGGTCAAGGTTTCATGGCAATACTCTGCCAGAATGTTCCAGCCCATAAAATCAATTTCAGGTGACTTGATCCTGTGCAGTATCTTTCACTGGTGCAGATTTTCAGGACCAATTTCTGACATAAGAGGTGTGGAGCCTGATTCCCTCAGAACAGAATCAATGAAGAGAAGGATCTCTGCACTAATCATGAAGCAGAGGTCTCCGAGTACAAACACACAGGAGGCTTAAATTAAATACACAAACTTAAATCCACTCACTATATAAACTGAGCTGCAGCAATGATTTAATAAATAAAAATGTAAAAATGTCAAAGATTTCTGCAATTTGAAACTACCTTTTTCTGAAGCCAATAACTGATGAGGCGAAGTGAATGAGGCTGACTTTATTCACTTTATTCTAGGGATTTTTAATTTAGTGCATCGTGATTTGTGATGCTGAGACAAAAATCCTCAATGAGAAATGTTTCTCACAGCAAAGACAAGCTTGCCTGTGTACACCTGTGTGACTAAAGATTGACCTTTCCAACATTGCGCCATCATGTTCTTCCAATAATAAAATGTTTGCTTTGGCTGAACAACAGTTTAGACCCATCTTCCCTTTCTTGGTTTGGCCAAAGCCAATAAACTCTACAAGATTACCAGTTTCCCTGCTGGTCTGTACAACATCATTACCAGACCAGTCAATCTCTACAGCACTTACCCGTCTCGTACTGTATGCCTAAAGCACTAAGCAGAAATAACGCTGAGTGCTTAATTAACAGATCTCTTAGTTTTAACGATGTAACATCTTCAATGGGAAATAGTCTTTCTGAGAGAGTAAAGAAAGCAGAGCACTCACTGTGCGATACATCTCCCAAACATCTAAAAGGACGTTTCGAAATCAGTTGCGTACAAATCCTTGAACCCTTTATTTTTGGACAGATTTTTTTTATCAAACAATACTAAAATGTGGAGCAAATTCAGTTCTGAAGATGAGAAAAGGTATCTGATAACGCTGTCAAAGTCCTTTCGCTAGCAAAACGTAATCTGACTGTACTTAAGAGCATAAAAATGGTTAAGAAAAGAGAGGATCACACTTGGCCTATCAAGGCCGTTAGGTAGGCAGTGGTTAATTGATCCAAAGATCTTATCCAGCCATTTCTTGAATGAAGCCAAAGTAGAGGCTTCATTCTTTCCATAAGACTCCCTCTACTAAGATAAGACAAGATGACTTTATTGGTCATATACAATTTTCTTGCCTTAGGAATTTGTCTTTTCGCAGACCCCAGCTTGCTCTCCATGAGACACACAGACAGGAAGAGAAGCTGGGGGTCAGAGCGCAGGGCCAGACATTTATACAGTGCCCCTGGAGCAGCTGGGGAGAACGTCTTACCGCCAGGTCATTTTAATGGGCCTTTTCAATGGGCCTTTTCCTGCAAGAAGAGGCTACAGGTGACGTTTTGATCTCTTTGAGAAGAAAAATTGAAAAATGCCAACGTGGCATGAAGCCAGCAGTAATCCCGCACGGCACCTTTACTAAGAAAACAAACCCATCGACAGAGGGGATGGATTTCTTTTAGCCAGTTACTTTTTCCCTTCTTTTCTGGGCGTGTTTAAAGCACCAGCCTGCACCCACCAGCTGCCCTGCAGCTGTACTGACCTGCATGTGCTCCAGCAGCACAGTGAGGCCCTGCAGCCATGTCACCGTGTGAACGTACTCCTCCGTGTTCATGATCTTGATCTCCTGCCGGAGCTCCGGGATGATGGCGCCAGTCCTCCAGCCGTGCTTCAGAGTCAGGTCCTGGAAGTGAGGGCAACAGAGCTCTCAGGACACCCTTTCCCTGACTCTACACCCCCTCGTGCAGCGGCAGTTACAGGCATCTCCTGTCAGCTCACAATCACAAACCCAGAAATGAATTGGTTGGACCCTGCTGTCATTGCTAAAAACCTGATCTTATTAAAGCAGGCTTTCACTGTCGCGAGAACTAACATAAAAAATGGATGCAATTAATGGGACAAATAGAGAAAATGTCATTCAAACTAATACAATAATATAGGTTTATTCCATGCTGAAAAAAAGAAGATAGAAAACACAACGTTTCGGCCGTGGAGCCTTCTTCAGGTGTGCACAGAAGAAAGAAAACACAACGTTTCGGCCGTGGAGCCTTCTTCAGGTGTGCACACCTGAAGAAGGTTCCACGGCCGAAACGTTTTGTTTTCTTTCTTCTCTTTTCAGCATGGAATAAACCTATTACTTGTTCCTTTGCAGCCTACGCATGCTGACGCAGCTACCCACCTGAACTAATACAATAATATTACAGTTTTATTCAAGAGCAATACAATATTTCATACAATAAATACAGAAATCATAAACGATCTGCACTTACGGCCAGATCACTGTAGATGTGATCCCCAAAATACAGCACTTTGGATCCTCTCCAGCCTGTCAGCCTCAGAAACTCATACAGGTTGCCCTGCAGGGAGAGGAGACAGTTCAGGGAAGTGAAAAGGACCCGAGGAGCAAAGCTGAAAACACAAATCTAATCAGCAAGGACTAATCCACTGTCAGGTACATGTAGTTAACAGGCTAGAAATCTGAGGTCTTGAACGTCTTGGAGTAAATCTTCATTACTGCAATGAAGCTCCAGCTCATGCATTAAATCTGAATTAAATGCATGATTTCCAAGCGGTAAAGGGATGATTTACAAAGGGCAAACTCTTACTGCAATGCAGAGGATTGCATGCTGCTTGCCAAAGCACTGAAAATTAAGCAACATATTCCCACAAACTATTTACGAAGCCGTATAACAATTGTGTAGATCAAAAAAAGAAATCGAGAAATAAACCGAGTACAATTACATTTCCAAAGACGAACTGGCAAACTGCTGTTGCCTCTCTTCTGTACAGACGTATTTCATTTTGGTTTGGCCCGAGTCGGGCGATCTCCTTGGCGTGGTGCATCTCAAGGAGCACGGCGACAGCAGAGGGGGTCTCACCTGTTTGTAAATCTGTCCCTTCTCCAGACGGTGAATCCTGTCCCACAAGAGCACCCCTTTATCCGTCACCCTCCGGAACGGCCTGCAAGGGTACCGTCATCGTTACACAGGACCCGCAGCGTACGGGACAATGGGCAGAAGTGCAGTGGAACCCCAGATTAAGGCACCCCGCTTTGTGAATCTGTCACAGCTTTTCTTGGAAAGGTTGGACGGATTGGATCTTTTACAAGTTTATGGAAATGTATAAGGGAAACTAGTTTGTTTGAAAGAATAACCAGTTCAATGGATATTTTGAGAAAATAACCCCGGATGCAAAAAAATATATAACTACTGGCAATGAAACTGTACTTGACAACTTCAACTCTACGTAATTTTCCGTGCAAAATCGGTTTATGCAAACCGAGAGAATGTGCCGTTTCCCAGATCTATGCTGTCGTAATATGTTATTTATCATAATAACTGTAACTGCAATCACTGCAGCGTCTTAAACAATAGGTTCCTTCAGTAGCCCTGCAGCTATAAAATGGAGCATTTACTTCACCATAAATAAAACACTTCAAAATAGACAGCATCACGGAAAGATTTTAGGCTTTCTTTCTTACGTTTTTTTCCATATTGATTTTTTACGATGAAAAACGTATGTAATTCTTTTGGAAGGCGCCCTGACAGCAGCTTGCGGGTTTGCTTTCATACTCGCTCAAATCGCTGGTCACAAGCCAAAGCCTGCGAAAGTGAGTGATTTCCGCAAGGGAAGAGCTTCTCTGGGAGCAAGCACTCCAGGAGGAGCGGACTGGGGTCCGCAGGGAGGAGAGAAGCTGGATGCAGAGAGGTCCGTGACTGAACGTGACCAGAGGACTGTCCAGGGACTTGAATACCAGTTCCTCGCTCCCACTCCCTGTTTGCCCCTTGATTCCGAATTGTGCAGTGTAGACAGCTTCCTCCTAAACAACATTTTTTATTCTTGCTTAACTACATGATACTTCAATAGATGAAAGGAACTGCTCCATTTTAGAACTGAAGAGATCTCCACATTGGTGTAAAATCTAGTCACACACACTTACTTCCTCCTGTCATTGAAAAAGCCAGGCTTGTCCGCCTGTACGATGACGACATCAAAGAGGTCTCTCCAGTCCTTCCCCACGATGTAGTTCATGCCTCTGTCCCTAGGAAACAACACAAGAAAAGTTTCATGAACAGGGTGGGGCAGAGATGCAGCCTGTCACCTCTCCGACAACCAGTCAGGAAGTGCGGAATCTACAGAACACACCCATAGACACAGCATGCCTGCTCGTGCACAGCTCAGACAAGAGCTACCTACAGCAGCTTCTAACTTCTGCAAGATTTTGGTTTAATTTAATTCTATTTAATTCACCGCAAAGCATGGGAAATATCCACACAAATGTCTGTAAAATCAACAGTTTTTTTAAAACTCTAGTTCAATCACATTTAAGTAAATATATGATCAATTCAATTAAGAAATATGTCACGCAATACAACACTGGTTTCATGTTGCTTCCACAAACAGCCATGCAAGGGTCTGTTAAGGATAAGCAAGTGAAATACCTCAAACAAACATCTCATCAAGTTATAACACAACAGGCATAAACTTTACACTTACACAAAGTCGAAAGGACTGTTAGTTATCAGAAACATCTTCTTCCCGTTCTCTGACAGCTTGCTCAAAACAGCATGGGTCTGCTCACCATAGCAGATGTACTTTTCTAAACAGAGGGACAAAGCCAGTTATGCAACAACCCTGTACCAGCAAACAGCAAAACCTCCTAAAAACAACATTTGGATGTTCAGCTTCATAAGAGCATTCTACAAAAAGTACAAAGGCAGAATAAGAGGTCGACTGCAGAATTTTAAATGCAGAGCCTTAAAGCCTTAAGAAAAGTCGTGTCCATCTTTCTTATTATCCCTGTACACAGAGAGCACTGAATGAACATCACTGTTAAAAACATGTAAAGCCAAGTGTACCACTACTATAAACTGATTTTTTTTTTAAAAGGAATACAAACTGTTTATATTACATGTTGAAATGACCAATTGCGTGTTGTTCAGGTCTCTGTTCGCAGCAACAAGCCTCAGGACCACAGGCGGGAGAGAGTGAGGAGGTGGAGTCAGACTCCTCCCACCCACCTGTGGGCCAATCATCTTTCACCACGTCACAGGGGCACAAGGAAAATCACCTCCAATTGGAGGAGAGGCACATCCTTCACCTACAAACGCTTGGTCACCTCAGGAGTTCTGTGTCCTGTGTCGCTCAGAGCCTATTGCACACTCTGATTTGGGCCATCTCGGTCCCAGCCGGCTAGCGACTTTGGCCTGGGCTTGAGCCTGCGACCACAGAGCTCAAACTGAGCTCCGACAGGGAAAGCCACTCACTAGGCCCACATACTGCAAGTGTATCCTGCCCCTCACATCCCTAAAGGCTGAGGGATCCATCGAGGATTTTACAGGTCACAAAAAAAAAAAACAGACAACAACACTTTTAAGATACCAGACTCTGAAGTTCTCAAAAGTTCCCCCTTCAGCATAAATTTTATAAACTGATTTTTGTTTTAAAAAAAATATGGCTATATTGCCATAGCTCACACACGTTCTACAGGCCCAAAGCCCCAGTGTCACCCGCTGCTGTTTCCAGCTCCGGGAGAACAATCCCAGATCCCAATCCCAGTTCTTCCACCCCCTAACATGACGTTACCAATATCTGCTTCCACAGCCCGGTACATGATGCCTTTCACATGGACATCTCCAATCGCCTCCTGGTCAGCAGAAGGGAAACAAAATGGCATCAGCCAGAGCAACACTGCCAGCTGCTGAGTCACACAGGGCAGAGAACTGAACATGCAGCACAACCCTACCATCTCCCACAGCTTGTATGTGAGCTAACAAAAACCACCACAGCACGACTGACCGGCAGGTTACTGAAAGCGTAGTGTATAAAATGTAGAAACAAGACAGATGAAGCACTTTTGTACCAAATGATCTTTTAAATTCATAAACTGAGAATATATTTCCATGAAATGTATAAAAAAAGATCATCTGAATTGCAATGATATTGCTGAATATACCAGGCATCTGGTGTGGTTTGGGATTTGTATGCTATTGGCCAGACACAATGAACATCAGGATGACAAAGAGCACAGACATGCAGATTGTAAAGTGACAGTCCGTGTGCTCATTGGCAAGATGCAGGCAATGGACAAGTCTCAGATCAGAGGATGTTAACACGCAATCTCACTGAAGGACGTTCAGATACGCGTCTCAGTCTCAGGGCCTGCAGAGGCCAGACTGCAAGGGAAGAAGCTGTCTGCTACAGGATTACTCACACAGCTGATGTGAAATGCGAGAGCATGTATGACCTGCTTATTTGAAGAGGAGTCAAATTCATTTCCTAATTAAGTGAAGGTCAACTTTGCTCCCAGATGCGGAAACTCTGGCAGTTTTCACCATAAAAATGTAAAAAGAGGGTGTGGTGTCCAAGCAGGTGGTGGTGCCAGGCAGTACTTTTCTACTACAAATAAATCCCTCACGGGATCAATAAGTATCTATCTATCCGAAAGGCTCCTATGCTAAAAATATAACAGTTCAGCACAGGGCTATGAAAACAAAGATGAGAAGATTTTTCTGCTACTCTAATGTCACTGAAGAAATCTGTCACAGAGAATGTGTCTCCCACAGTTTAGCACCTTGACATCCTTATAGAGGTGGACAGGCTCGTAGTCGATGTTGTGCTTCATGAAGTAATCGTTGACGCAAGAGAGCAGAGTCATCTCAGGCAGGGAGAAGATGTCCATGAACTGTTTCATGGTGTGGCCGTGGGAACTCTGCAACAGACAAATATAATTAAACTGAAGCAATTCTATTCAATTTATTTTTATATAGCGCCTTTCACAACAAGGTTGCCCCAAGGTGCTTAACAATGCAGGTGACCATACATGTGAATACATAACAGAAAAGACCAGAGGACAAATGGAGGAGAGGAACCAAAAGGGAGAAAAAAGGAGAAAACAAAACTCTAGGGGTCCAAGGTCAACTGGTTGCCCAACCCATTTGGGCATGCTAACATTAATTAAAAGAAAAGGGAAATAAATTAGTTTGGGCATTAATCCATCCATACATCATGTCTTCTATGTGTTAGTACTCCATCCAGATCTCTGTAGACCAGTAAAATCCTCCTAAACGATAGCTATATTGCTACTGCCAATGATTCTGTTTTATTGTCATCTTCCAGTTTTCATTTTCAAACCTTCCCTACACAGCAGACACACTTGTTTTAGAGCCTTAGATGAACGATCAGCTTACACAAGAGAGCTGGAGAACACCAACAGACGATAAATAATGAGTCTCTTCACCATCTGTTGAGCAACATCATGTCGTCAAGATGTCCACAACCACCCGGACTCAGTCAGTGAGGCCAATCACTGAACACTGGTGCAGTTTCTCATGCCACTATCTAGTGTCGTGGGCCAGAAGTGGCTCACCCAGTGAAGGTCTCTGTGCTGGGAACAGGCGAGCCCTGAACAATTAAGCAGAGCCCACCGAGTCCCTGGGGAATGAGAAACCACTGAACTGGCCCTCTGCCCCCTGAGCTACAGGAGCTGGAGTCAGCAGGGGAACTCCTGGCTCGACACGAAACCAGGCAGCCCACATCATCAGCCCTGTGCCCCTAGCCTGTGGTTCAGCAGAGCAGTACAGGCATTTCACAGCTGAAACCTATGGATTTAATACTTTTCAAGACAACCGTCAACTTAAAAACAAAAGAGCGGGTCAATCGCTGGAGCTATTACCACAGTAACTGCAGACTTCAGATTACAAGTAGGAGAAGCCTGTAGTGATTTTAAAATGTTTTGCAAAATGACGTGCTTCACATGCTGCTCCTACTCAGAACAGTGAGCTCCCAACTCCTGACTATGCAGTTAATGTCGAAAGGGGATCCTATTTCATCGATCAAGGCTGCCTGTCTGCCATTTTACTTCTAAGACTTCAAAACAACCACTGCCACAGGAACCACTACATGAATTCACCTGTAGCCTGTCAAGCTACAACACTCCTAGATCTGCTTCAGACCGGCACCTCCCATGTTGCAGTAATACTTGACGAGACCTCGGACAGCTAACATCGCCATCTCTTCTTCAAAAAGCTATTTGGCCAATGAACTCCTAGCGAGGTGGGTATCATCATATACTTGACCCTTCGTTTATTTGAATGGGCAGGGACATGCTTAGAAGCTTTCAAAACTGCCTGCAGCTGTCTGGATTAATTATATTTTTGGTCAAAAATTCAAATTACACAAAGTTCTTGAATTACATGGCAGATGGATTTCTGACAGATTCCTTCCGTGTAACTCAAAACGACATAATATAAAAACGAATTTTCCGTAAGCATGGGAACATGACTTATTCATCACTCCCTGCATCACTGGGATTCTTGCTTTCTCTCTCCAGGTCATAGACTGAGCAGTGGTATCTCTCCTCTCTACCCCCTCCATGAGCAGCACACACATATTAACCCTATGAGCCCGCACAACTGCTTTCCTGCTTCTCCATCCCTCACAGACACAGAGGGGAAAATAAGAGAAAATCTCTGCAATATCATGAATGATGATTCACTCTAAGTGTTCACACAACAGCCAAGAAATAGTTGCTTCCAAATTACGTAAGATTATGGTGACATAAAGACTTCAGGAACCAAACCCTTACATAACTCAGGGAGTGGGTGTACAGATATTTTTTCCTTATTTAACCTTTTAGTTGATTATTAATTGTAGACTGTTTTGTTTAATCCTTTTACCAAATGTTAAGATTTGTGATTTTTTGGGTTTTAAAAATGATTTAAAATGTTTTATTTACAAATTCCACATAATGAAGCTCTTTTTTTAGGACACGGTAGCTTACTCTGTTCTGGTTTTCTTGATTTTATTTTAGATGTTATACTATATAAACACAAGGCACAGCCTAAGATAATAAAGGTTTTAAGGTCGTATTTAATAAGTGAGAGACGAGGGGAGTTGAAGGGTACCTGTCTGTGTACCTGTCTTAGTAAGGGCTGGGTACCTTACATGTCAAGAAGCTCACGCCCTATAATATTCTATCCTTTTATTTCATTCTGTTGCTGCATGTTTTTGCACATCTGATGTTGTTTTTGCACATTACCTGTTACCTTTTGTTGTTTTGCACATTGCCTGTTGTTGCTTTTGCACACTGCCCGTTGTCTCTGTCTTTCTTTTATTATACAATTGTATTGTTGTTTTTTTTGTACTACTTATCATCTGAGAGCTAGCTAAATAGCATTTCGTTATACCATATACCTGCATATGAGTATAATGACAAACTTGAACTTGACTTGACTGCGTCTCCCAAGCGATTCTATTGATCCCATCACAAAGCTGGTACGCCCCTATACTGTCTAAACATTATGGCAGGTTGGCTGTTGCTTGCTGCGCCAAAGCACATTAAAGTGAGAACTAACTCATTATAAACTATGAAGCAGTATATATTAAACCAAAAATGCTAAATCAAAGTAAAAGCGTGTAAAGTATCAAACTATTTGTACCTGTTTTTAGATTAGATGATGTTTTGAAAAATACTCCTTCATACCTCTTAACTCTTAAAGACTGGGACTGCTCATTATTAAACTGTATGTTATTCATAAGAAACATTCTTACAGAGAAAACCTCTGAAGTAAAATGAGTTAAAATAATGAGTGACCAGACTAATGTGAATAGCATAATTGTGAGCATGATAATCTGAGCATCCAATGGATCTCATAACAAATTCAAAAGGTTGTTGGGAAAATGTTAAAATCTGTATTGATTGCATGCAGTCTGACATTTACTGAATAGGCATTACATATGTAAATGAATTCCACTGGCTAACATTGGTCACGACAGCACTGATCAACCAGGGGTTTGCTGTGGTCTGGTCTGCAGCATGTGTTTTAGAATCAAGACCAGCCAAGGCCAGATTTAGGTGTTCGTAGGCCCTGGGCACTTTCACTCTGAAATGTGCAAAAAGAGTGGTGAACACCAATTGAATGACGCTGATTGACATGATGCACTTTAAACTATTCTCATGCTAGACCACCTGATTGATGGAGTGAGTCGAGTGACCGTCACTTCGATACTTCTAGTTTCTAGAACAGCCGCTAGATACTGTATGGTGATTGATCTGGAGCACCTTGAGTCGAATCGCAAGCGGGTTGTTTCAGTTTGTTTCTCGTGAGTCACTAGTGTCTCCCTCCTTCGTAGGCCCTAGGCACTGTGCCTGCAGGGCCTGATGGGAAATCCGGCACCGAGACCAGCTGCAGATACCATCGTGTGGGATTCTGTCCCCTTGTTCTCAGGCAGCCTGGACAAGCAGGGGCTGTTCCCTGGTCTCTGAGCCCCAGATGCCACATCATCCCAACGCATCCCACTAAATGGCAACAAATGTCCACACCGAAGCGGTGGCATTCTCATCTTGCGAGAAAGCGTCTATTGAATAAATGGCAGAGCACGTAAGAAATATCCAGAATCCATATCCTTTATTGTCTAAAACCATACATACCGTACAGTATATAGAGCACTGTTTGCTTATTGCTCACATTACTGCTCGTGGATATTCTAAGTCCCAGTGTCATTCTGTCTATTTCCATATTCAACTGATTAGTTTCTTCATTCCACACAAGCAGTAAACGCGAGGGCCGCAGAGTGGTTGTCTGATTGCACAATCACTTCCGTCACAAAGGCCAAGGGGACGCTTTCCCTGCTCATGCAGCTGTTACCTCTCCACATACCAACTCTAATCCCCCGACATGACCATACCTCCTTTCAAATCCTGCCTTGGCTACAGCCTCATATATCACCACGCTGACCTTTCACTGACAGGACGGCAGGTCTAAAACCTCCCGTCAAACGCAGCTCAGACTCAACACCCTCTCCCCTTAGGGGCTGAACTCTCCCGGCAATTTACAGATATAGCTCCCCGACCAGCTCAGAGTCACCATGAAGTACATTTATTCTGGGAAATACCGTCATTAAAATGTATTAATCTTTTTTCCCATATTTCCAGATAAAAGAAAATGATTGCTCATATTGTAATAATCTGTAAAGATCTGCCCTCTTTCACGGCAGGTGTAAAATAATGGACATGCAGGGCATTCTCACCCTTTATTTTTATACTGCTTTTTTACTGTCGACCTCCTATTGCTTCTTACGGTCAGTCTTCTAATGTTAGACCCAGGGATCTGCTATTCCCCTCACTTCTGCGCCACTGTGAGTTCTGCCTCATCCATTAAGCTCAGTTTAGAAGCGACAAAAATCCCAGAGCCCAGATCTCAGTCCTGCATGTATGTTACCGCAGTGTTTTCACCCGATGTCGAACAAGACATCCTGACAACATTCTCTTCAATAGAAAGGGTACTAAGTATATTGTAGAATCACAACTACAATATTTAAAATAAAGTTAATGAGAGAAACATTCTTTTCCCGGAGGACAATGGATAAACCTGCTTAGCATACTGGGACCCAATGAATTCACAACGAGAGGTAACTGGCTTTGAAAGGCAGGTTATTTTTAGAAAATAGATGCCGAACTCATGGAACACTAAATACAAGACATTTCGGACTACGACATATTAAATATGAATATAAAAAAATTCTAAGTACTCAAGCAAACTGTAGAAGAAATAACTTAAAATTAATAATGAAATCCTCAACTGATTTAATTTTGAACTTTCTGTGCCGAGATCTCGAATTACTGACAGCAGAAGTACAAATTGAATTGTGAGCAAACTGCCCCTCGGGGGTAATGAAGACGCTCTCCTTCTCTCCAGTGTGCCACGGTCAAACGGATGTCCGCCCAGCCATGAGGGCAGGACAGCTGACAGACTCACCTTGCCGTAGAAATCGCTCATCTGCTCCAGGGGCACATGGGAGCCTTCGTACATGGCGACGACCTCCTTATCCGACACGGGGTGCAGCCCTCTGGAGAGAACAGGACTCTTTCACATCGCTGTTTACAGCAGCTGACAAGTGCTCAGAGCCCTCAAGCTCCCTTCTATCATTCCGCCATTAACACTCTCGCAGAGAAGGCAGGTGTCACAAAGAGAACCAGCATGAAATGAGAAATACCTTCTTATCTAATCTAATCTCACCTACAGCACAAATAAGCACCCGCAGAGAGACAAACAGGAACATTTTAGTTTTGACTCCAGGAGCCATGGGATCGTAGGCAAATAATGGCGTTTTCTCAAAAGGATAAGAGTAATACGTGTTAATGGATTCACATTTCACAGGCAAACCAGCTTAAAATAAGAATTAAACTATGACAGTAACAAGAACTTAATTGACTCCTTACCAATTCATGAGGCAGAGTAATAATAATAATAATAATAATAATAATAAATAAACTTTATTTTATATAGCGCCTTTAAAGGTGGCTTCTCAAAGCGCTTTACAGGATGACAATAATATCAATTAGAAGACTACAACAATAAATAAGACAGGACACAATTATAATTACAACAATACAACAATAACAATAGAGGAGACCGTGGAAGATGGTATTAAGAAGAGCAGAGGGGTGAAGAATGGAACCAGTTAAGTAAAGGCTTTTCTGAAGAAGAAGGTTTTGAGTCAGAGTACGCCTGTTCCTCAACTGTAACACATCAATTTCCCTACGAGATTAATAAAGTCTTATCTATCTATCCCACTTATCACAGAGTGCTATGGTATGTGGCTCAGAAATTGTTTGCAGTTTGTTTTAAGCAATACACCTACTGTACTGTATACTGTGTTGAATTGAAGGAAGCTCCCGGGGTTGTATCAGTTCATTTTAAACCTTCCTAAGGCCATGCAAGCAGCCTCTTTGTGCAATACTGGGGGCTTCATAGTGCAGTACACCAGTCCTGTAGTGCACATGCCACCTTTTCCATCATGATGGAGAAAAATCTGATGATTATACGAACCTAACAGGAGCCTGAGACGGTTCAGGGAGAATTAAAGATTTGTGAAAGAGCACAACGTATTAAAAAAGGCAAAAGATACTGGTAATGTGCTGAATTACTACTGATTTCTCAAAAACTGAGAAAAAAAATTAAAACACTTTCAGGCTTCACATGCATTTCCCCAAAAATATCTGCTTGCTGTACTGGCATGAGAAAAGGATTGAACTGCTGAGTAACTAGCATCATTGCACACAGATTTCTGAACCTGCTGATGACAAATCGAGTTACAGCCCACGACACTGGGTACCTGAGGGAGGTTTACTACACTGATTCTTATATCCCTGACCTTCCCTCAGATTACTGAGGACATGAGGACAGGAGCAGAGCTGGGGTAAAGCCCATCACACAGCAGCACACACCCATACATACCTGTACACAGTTCCTAACTGGATGTAATGAAAGGCATCGATCTTCATCAGCAAAGCCTAAGACAAAACAACAGTGATGCAATAGAAAGTCAGATATTGTTCTGGCTTATTCATAGAGATTCCAAGTAAATAAGGAATAATAGCACCCAAAAGCAGCCCTGAGAAATGCAATGGCTTATAAGTAGTACTCATAAGTATTCACCCCCTTGGACTTTGTTACATTTTATTGTGTTACAATATGGAATCATAATGGGATTTTATTGGGATTTGTTGCCACTTATTTGACTGTTCCTGAGAGAGCATAGCAAATAAGAAACCCACTGTACATGAACATATGGCAAATAAACTCCTCTATCTACAAAACACTATAAAGCCAACAAAAACTACATTATGAAGACAAAGGAACATTTACCGTAAATGTAGGATTGTGTTGTTAAAAAGCACATATCGGGAGAATGGTACAAGATCATTTCCAAGGTAGCGAATATAATCGAAAGCACAGTAAAGTCCATGACAAGAGAAATGGAGAAAATATGGCACAGCTGTGAGTCTGCGCAGAACAGGGCATCTTCAAAAACTGAGGGCAAGAAGGGCACTATTCAGGAGGCCACCAAGAGGCCTATTACAACTGTAAAAGAATAACAGTCTCGCACAGCTGGGTTTGCACTCGACATAATGACCTGGGTGCTTCACAAATCCAGTCTTTGTGGCACAGTGTCACAACAAAAGCCATTGTTGGAAAAAAAAAAACCACACAACAGATCTTGGCTCGTGTTTGCCAGAAGGTACGCAAGAGACTCCGAGACCAAGTGGGAGAAGATTCTATGGTCTAAAGAGACCAAAATTGCCCCTTTAGGTATCAACACTAAGCGCTTTGCTTGGGGCAAGTGAGACGGTCAACAACATCCTGACAACTCCGTCCCTCCTGTGAAGGACAGTGGGGGCAGCTTCATGCTATGAAGATGCTCCGCTGCATCAGGGCCTAGAAGATTTTTGAAGGCAAAATGGATGCAGCAAAGTTCAAAGAAATCCAGAAGGAAAGCATGCTGTTGTCTGCAAGAGACCAGGGACTTAGGAGAAGATTCATCTTGCAGCCAAAGCCCCACTGTAGTGGAATAAAAACAAAAGTCAATGTTCTGGGGTGGCCCAGTCAAAGCCCAGACCTCAATCCCATGGAGAATCTGTGGCAATAGATCAAAAATGCTGTTCACCACTGGTCCCCATCCAACCTAAAAGAGCCCGAGCAACTTTGCTCGGTAGAATGGGCAAAAACTGCAGTGTCCAGATGTGCAAACCTGGTAGAGATTTTTTCAAGAAGATTCATGGCTGTAATATTGACTCAAGGGGTGTGGGGGGGGGGTGAATACTTATGCAATCAGTTGTTTTCTGATTTACATTTATAACTAATTTAGGAAGATCTGTGGAATTTTGTTTTCCCTTTGACATTATGGACTGTTTTATGTCCTTTCATCGCAAAAAAAACAAATAAACATTACGATTCCATATTGCAACACAATAAAATGTGAAAAAGTCCAAGGGGGTGAATTATTTTTGAGAGCCACAGTCCCAGGATACGTCTCACGCTGGGTCTCAACAGCACCTTCTTCCTCTGACTTATAAAGCAGCCTGTGCCCCACAGTCACATATCTGAAATATGGAGGAAGAGTCAGGTCCACAATCTTTGGTCAAGAGAATTCGAGGTGGGGAGCTGAAGACAACTGTCCTACTTGTGGAGCCCTGGAGAAACTGATCTACAAATGGAGTAACTGCAGAACTGAAGGCTGTGCACGACTCTCAGGCTGTCACTTTTACTTCTGTCGCTTTAAATCTTTACTCTTGATCATAGGTCTCAAACTCAGCCCCTGAAGGGACTACGGTCTTCTACATATTACTGCACCTGAGATCACAGTTAAACAATGGGTTTAATTACTTGATAAACTGCATCATTGCAAAAACCTTGACCAGACTTCAAGAGGAGTGTGACAGATAACTGTACCTTGAGTGAATATCTTTTTTTTTTGCTCTTAATGACTTTTTAAATAATCTGACAAACAAAATAAGTAGGTTAACTGTTAATTGACTACTTATTCTGGAACAAAAACCAGGTGACAACAGGCCCTCCAAGAACAGAGTTTAAAACTCCTGATCTAGATACTAGTCATTACAACTGTGATGGGTTTTGACCTATTAAATAGTTTGAACCCCCAAGTCTAAAGCACTACATTCTCACCGGGCTGTGTTCAGCGGTCACGAGTCACAAGTCTAACTGCACTGCCTATTTATATGTGATTCTTTTGAACAGGGGCAGAGGCATGGGCAAGGATATTTATCAGCAGGCTCACCGCATGCTCGCATGAACCTTTAAGGGCGGAGTGGTGGCTCTGTGGCTCAGGATCTGCGCCTGTGGCTGGAATGTTACTGGTTAGTATCCCGCAGCCAGCAGAGGATTCCTACTCCGTTGGGCCCCTGAGCAAGGCCCTTAACCCCAACTCCTCCAGGGGTGCTGTATAAATGACTGACCCTGCGCTCTGACCCCCAGCTTCTCTCCCTGTCTGTGTGTCTCATGGAGAGCAAGCTGAGGTCTGCGAAAATACAAATTCCTAATGCAAGAAATTGTATATGGCCAATAATCACTTTATAATGTATTATTTATTAAGACAAGCATGTTCCATGGTGGGCAAAACTAGACCACCCAATCAAGAAGGGTCATATGCACTTTAGATCATATGTGTCAGTCCTTACCTTCTGCACATCATAATGAAGACCCCTGATAACAAAATCAGGAATATAGTCGTATTCCCGCAGGCCCTCTGGATACTAGGAGAAAAAAAGGTTAAAAAAAAACCTTAAGATTTGGCTTTGTAAAGACTTTCAGGACTAACAAACACAATTAAGTCATTCAGCCTATTCAGCCCATTTGGTAGTTAATAGTTAATAATAACAATATTAATAATTATTAACATCCAAGGATCTTATCTGGGTTTTTCTTGAAAGAATCCAAGGTATCGGTTTCAACAACATGGCTGTTGTTAAATTTGTGACATCAGGCTCGTATTTCACTGTTGATACTGAAGATGTTCTCTGGATTCACTTCGTAAGTGAAAAAGAATGTTGGAATTTGAGCTTTTAAGACCTTTTTTTTCTTACAATGTCTGTGTTGGAAGAAAAAGGTCAAGTCTGTTACATTACCTAGCTTGTCTGAGAAAAATTCAATCAAGATGACCCTCAATGGTGGCATTGCTGAGCATTGCTGCCTCACCCTGGGTTCAATTTCAGACCTGGCGTGCAGTCTACATGGAGCCTTTTCGCCACCGGTTCTGTGTGGCTTTCCCCTGACTGCTCCATCCCACAAGTTTCATCCCACAAGCTTCTGGAAAAACGAGCTCTAATGTGAGCACATGTGTGCCTGTGTATCTGCCCTGCGATGGACTGGCGTCCCATCCAGGGTGTATCCTGCCTTGTGCCTGTTGCTTGCTGGGATAGGCTCCAGCTCCCCCGCAACACTGAACTGACTGGAGCCGTTGGAAAGGGGATGGATGTACGAATCCGAGATCATACGGATATGCATGGATCAGAAGTCTCAACCCTGAAAGTGTGAGTTGTGAAAGTTGAAACACTAAGTTCATACTGATCAAAATAACAAAACTCAGCGCACATGACTACAGTGAAAAGCCTTAAAAACACAGGGAGAGACAACAGTGGAGATCAAATGACCTTCACACCAAACAACACTGTTCCCTGCTAGACCTAAAATCATGGAAAACCATTTTTCTAGAAGCACGAAACGTCAAACAGAGGGAAGCACACACTTACCCTGTGCTCCTGAATGAGGATGTCTCTGGCTATGTTAAATATCAGTGTGTGCAGGTGGCTGGAGTAGAAAGCCAAGGTGTAGTCATAGTCAAAGCCATAGATTTCGATGTCTTCTAGGCTCATCTCGTTGTTGGCAAAGATAGCATCTGGGTTTAGGAAATTACGTGCAATAGCTGGGATTAAATCTGGAATAATCAAGAAAAAAAACGGAATCCAACAGTTTATTATAATGAAAGTCATACAATACAGTACTGCATTTATCTTGCTTTTCTGCAAGAGTAATTAAATAGGACAAAGATAAAATGAATTAAGGACAAACCTTATACTCCACAGAGCTCATTGCTTACAACAGAACCTGTTTCTACAGTTCTGAAGATTTAAACTATGGGTTTTTTGTTACGGCAGTGCAGTATCTTTGAAAGGTTAGCTGAATTAATCTCTGTATTTGTGAAGTGGGTCCCCTCCTACAAGTCAAAAGATTTGTGATCCCTGGGCAAGAAAAGTGTTCTTACACACAAGACGTTACTGCACAACCCAAGGTCTGGTTTTGTGTGATGAGTGAGGACTCCGAGGGGGGTCATGAGAAGCCGTTTCTCCTTGTTCTCCTTAGGATTTCTGTTCTGCCCTCTCTTAACTACTTCACACATTGAGCAACACCGGAATGCACTCTCTGAGATGAAGTCAACTTGTACCTTAAGCAACGATTTCCACATAATGTATTTTTTTAATACAGTCTGTGGTAAAACATCTAAAAAAAAAACATTTCACTCCATGGACACCTGTCAGAAACACAAGCAAACGATTTCGACATGAATTACTCATGAGGCGACATGTCCTTCGGAGACAGGAAAGTGCTCTGGGTTACCATCAGCGGCTCTTGTCGAGAGGTTTCTTGAGCAGCGCTTGTGAACAGTTCTTTCGTCCTTTACCGATACTCAGCGGATCCCCACATTCCCCGCGGCGAGCTGTGCACATACCGCTGGCCACGGCCACATGATGGCATGATGCTGCCAGTCAAACAACATTCACAATGCGTGAATCAGACCTTGCCGCTGCTTAATGAGGGCGAGGACGCCAGCAAGCTAATGAGCGAGGCGAAGCCTCGGGAGCCCCGGACCCCAGCCACAGTACAGCCCCTGCACGGCACCAGCGGTCGTTAATACTCTCTGGCCTGCGTCAGCGGGGACACTGTTGCGAGTACCAGGCTCTTCAAATACATGATGTAGTGAGATCAAGCTGTCAGATAACACGTGCATGTATAAAACACATGAATATGATCAATAAAAACCAGACTTCACTCCGTCAAGGCATACCCCCGGAGTGATATCTGTCCGGAGAGCCGTCTGTGAATGTGAGCCCCTGATCGCTCCCAATCTAACACATTCATAAATCGGGGGTCTGCCTACAGTTTTAATTTGCAGGCACATCCGCTGAGCTGGTTTTGTTTCAGAAGGTAATCGTCATACCGCTTCCTCTCCAGTATACAGTTTATGCTTCACTTCGCTTTAGACAAAAGTTGCAATGCAATCTCACCTTCCGTCTGCTTTTTGGTCTCATTGTAAAGTGCCCAAAGCGAGCTGGTCATGTCCCGGCCGCTGACAGAGGACGTGCACAGAGGTCTTGTGCCCGGAAAGCCGCGGGACCTCGCCGAGACCGACCCGGCTCCCACCGGCTCACCGACCTGCCGGAGCCGCGCAGCCCGGCGGCCTCCGCTATGCAGAGCCGTGAAGCCCCGGATCAGTGCCTGTGAACCGTCTCTGCCTCCCAGCCTACTTGACAAGGACAAGAGCGACATGGCTCCTGGAAGCCAGCGCTTTTGAGCACACAACAGCCCTGCTACACGTCTCCCACCGTCATGCCCGGCTGCTAGCGTGCACAGCGCCGCGAGCCCCCCGGCAACCAGCAGGGAGCAGCCTCGCCCGACGTCACTTCCGCCTGTGAGCGAGGCTGGGGACTCCGGCGGGTTGCCACAGGAGCGGCCGGGCGAGTCTCGGCATGTCTAGGTGTGACGTTTCCAGTATTTTCCTTGCGACCAATGCGTATGGACGTGTTAAAATGCACCGAACTGCGCAATAGCGAAGTATAACCCGCGAAAGCAAACTGAAGTGATCCTTTCACGATCCTTTTCCATCAAGATTCCAGTTTCCATCGGTTGTACTGGTGTAGTAGCGACACCAGAACAGGCTCACGACCCGGTATGGTAGAGCTGGTCTGGACATCTGCTGCGGAGGGTAGCACTTAAAGCTCCGCCAGACGTCTTACTGTTGGTAGCTGGAAGGTTCAAGCATCAGGTGTGTTGCTGCTGTTGTCCTCTCCAGTAAGGTGCTTCACTAAATGTTCCAGTTTTATCTGTGGGCGCAAATGTAAGATGTTATGGATAAAAGTGTGATGGTAACAGTATTCATGAAAGTTCTTCATGCGAGACAGGCGAAGGTTCATACTACTTTAAAAATACCTAATCTTCATCTTCCTATTAGTTTAGTTTTCAATCACAACAAATGAGTAGGCTAAACTTGCACTTTACTTAAAACTCAGATTAATTAAAACACCTGTAAATTACAAACATGTAAATTTACATACTTCTATGTCTGACATAAAATGTTTTATTATGCAATCGTAGTGATTTCTTTGCACATAAAGAACAATCATGTGATGCTGTATGTGACGCATGCTCTCCGTAAATTTGGTCTGATCATGCACGGTATTTCTGGGTCAGTGTGGATAATGTGTACATGACACTGAAGAATTACTGTACCAAAACACACAAAACTAATAATATAGGTCTTTCATGGAGACTAGCAGTTTAGAGTTGCAATGGAGCAGACCTTCATTACAGATAAGGGTGTTCCTTGTTTCAAAGTGCACAGTGAGTTGTAATAAACTTGGATCTCATAAAGTTATTGATATAAAACCCCACATGCTTGTTTTTTCAACTTTACAGCCTTGCATATCTCAGTGTTTTCTTGTGGTATTAAAAAGATGTGCCTTGTTAAACACTGAGAGAGATTTTACACATTCTTCACCGAGCTTCACCAAACACAGGGAAACAAATTTATAAAATATCTGCACAGGTTAGTACATTGACACATAGCTTTTCCACTGCAGGCTTCCCTGTTTCAGGAGTTTTCAACATTTACAGCTTATAAAGTGATGAACTTTGTGAAAAACTGCGGAAGAGTTTTATGACAACAATAAAAAACATGTTTGGCAGATAATTGACTTAAAGTCAAGTTGGCCAGCTGATGTACAGTAGCTGGATGAGACACAAATTGAGTTTTTGCACCGGCAACTGAACTTCTCCCATGAAACATTTGTCCAATGCTTAAGTCTGCATGACCTTGAAAATGTCAGGAGGTTAGTCGGAGTGAATTTCTGAGGTTAGTTTTTTCACCTGAATTTAGGAGCTGACCATCACGTGAAACAGATAAACTGGGATGTTCGGAGTTCTGAGGTTCAGCAAGATCTGAACAGAAGTGCTTTACAAAAAGTGTGACCAAGACAGACACAGAGCCAGGTCACTGGCAGTTTTACCTCCAGTCAACACCTTTCCTCACCTGATCCAGGACACCTGTGTGTTACAGCAGGGTCTTATGGTCTGTGAGTGGGAGGCCCAGGCACCATCACAGCAGGTACCAAAGGCTGCACTGAATTTGTAAGATCATTGTAAATTACATCATCACAAGCAGGAGTTAATTATTTTTTTAACTACCAGGTTAGAAATTTACTTTTTCCACAGCAAATTAAGAAATTCTGTGTTAGCATTCACAGGTTAGGTAACACTGGTTTCTGAAATCAATTTAAAATAACAATGTGACTTAAGCCTCAATAATTAGGAATACCAGCTCTAAATTAAAATATTTAAATTGACTACATTGATATATCATAGAATTGTGAAAAGGGGTTTATTAAATCTTTGATTACAAGCACATACAATATTTACTCAGTCATTGACTAAATTCTTCTAAACAATTTTGCTTTTATTGAACTATGAGCTGAAGGGTATAACGTATAATTATTTTAATCATTCTATATGAGACAAAAGTCACCCTTTAGGGGGGAACATCTGTTATCATTTTAATAATGGCAAAGAATCATAAACTGTGTTCTGATTAAAGGGTAACACACTTTATTACAGCTGAATACGCAAAATATCTTTCTGTACATATTTTCCTAAATGTTATTCTCTGCCAAATATTCAAAAATAGGTTTATTGACAACAACAAATAGACAGTCCGAAAGAACTTAACTGTTTTAGTGCTGAACAGAGAAGACTGCCATCTGACCTGGTACTGTACAAGTATTCAGCATTCTCAAAGAGATCGACACAAGCAGCTCAGCGGATTTTTTAAGAATGACCATTGAAATACAAACCAGGGGACACAAGTGGAAACTTCATGGAACTGCATTTATAATAATAATTCTTACACTTATATGGTGCTTTTCTAGACACTCCACTCAAAGCTCTTTACAGGTAATAGGGATCCCCTCCACCTCCACCAGTGTGCAGCCCCACCTGGATGATGCGACAGCAGACAGAGTGCACCAGTACACTCCCCACACACCAGCTCTCAGTGGGGAAGAGAGCAGAGTGATGAAGCCAGTTCATAGATGGAGATTTTTTTTTTAATCAAGAACAGGAGACCCTTTTATTTATAAAGGATTGTGGGAGGGTGGAACAAACTGCACAGCCACACTGTTGAAGCCAATACCTTACTTTCTGTCAAGAAACAGCTGGTTGAGATCCTTGGATGAGTTAGCTTCAGAGTACCAAACGAACCAGAAGGCAGAACATCCTCTTCTCATTTGTGACTGTTCTCAAGTTCTTTTCCGCCCGGTATTTCTCTGGCATGTCTGAAATGATTCTGAAAGAGCCTCTCACTCGGCCCTCTCGCCTGGTGCAGCCTGGGAGGGAATGGCTGTTGAAGAGTGGGGTATCTCCCGGGCTCATGGTACCATGCTGACCTGTGCAGAACTCTGCAACTGTCCCTCGAGTCCGGTTTCAGAGACAGAATCAGATTCTTGATGTTGCTAGAGGGTCCAAATATCGAAGTCTGGCAGGCTGTCCAGGGCCTGTAGACAGGGCATTTCTCAGTATGTGTTGTCATGAATGTCCTGCAGCTGCTTGAGGCTGATCTAAACTGGGAAACGTTTTGGGGTCTCTCCCTCAAGGCTATGTGAGACCGTGGCTTGAATTTCTGTGTAAGACTCTGTGCTGCATGATAGGGCTCCAACCTTTGTATGGTCTGTCTGGGAAATATGACATTGTGCGTAATGCCTGAATCGTGAGTCTCTTTCTTTAATAACCTGAAAGAAAAAAAAATAAAGTTGGAAAACTGAAAAAAATGGAAGAAAAGCCCACAGGACAAAGCAAGTCTCACCGCAGAGTGTCCCTGGTGATCCGGTCGTCGGGTCCCAGCAGGCTGAGCTGCAGATCCCTGGCTCTCTGCAGGAGTCGGATGGCTTCTCTCCTCTCCTGCCGGTCAGAGCTGGTCAACAGCAGTTTTCCTGGGAATCAGTAGAGATGATCTAGTCTTTGAAACAAGACTGCAATTTCTGCACAAGAAAACAATTTCTGAAACTGGAAAGTGGGCTTCCATAAACATTTTTTTTAAACGAATGCTTGAAAAACATCTGCTATTATGTTTTGCCTTCTCTTTCTGAAATGTTTACCTATTTCCCCACACTGCCAGCACAAGCTCTTCTCTTTGCCTAAGGGATCTTCCTTACATTTTCTACTTTTACCATTTCATTATCACTATCACCGAGTGTGTTTTAAATATTAGTTTGGGGGAAAAAAGGTAAGATGTGAACGTAAGCTTCATTTAAGTATTGATATGGAAGTTTGTGCCTCATGGTTCAGAAAACCTTACTGTAAACTCTGCATCTGACAAAAGCAACTAACATTTAAACCACTACCAACTCCACTTCTTGGAACAGATAACAGATTAGAAAGTTGGAAACCTGGAACATATACCAGAACAGAGAGTCTATAAACACTACCAAATAAAGTCTTCTTTTGCTAAAGAGGTTGACAATGAACAAAGTTCCAACATGTACAAAGTATAAAAGGTAAATTTTCTCTTGTCCTCTCTGGGAACTTGTGCCTGAGTGAAATGAAGTCGTGTCCACCCCTCGACAGCAATGCCTTCGCACATGCCAGGTGCCTGCCAGCCCACTCTGAGCATTCTGGACTGTGAGTAGCTGAGCTGACACACACACCAGAACACAACAGATGGCTATCATCAAGCTGGAAAACACACTAATGTTGATATTTTCTATCTTCTGATAATTCCGGTTATATTTCTATGTAGTTTTCATTAATTCATTAATTTCATTTAACAAATTCTTTTACTCAATAAGGACCTTCTAATTTGTGCATCTGCGAGGGTTCTGACTTACTGTTTAAAAAAAAGGGTCGCCTTTCATCTAATGATTTTTACACGTTTGCCTTCCTGTTTATCTGTTAATCCACCCCGTTTTATCTTGGTCACAGCGTTGGCAAGCTTCTGCAAGACTTTCGCTTTCTGGAACTGTCACGTCTGTGTCTTGGACAAACAACACTTCTGGGCCCCCTGCCTTGTACACAGGAAATTGCAGTTACCCAATTGGCAAAGAGTCAACGCCAGGCTGCATCCCAGTGGCTGTGCCAAGTGTGGAGACAGTGCAGAGACCCTCTGTTCTTCTTTAACTTTGATCACATGTTGGTAGAGTTCCACCACGTGTCTTTTGCCCGTGCTGAAAATAATTACATCAGGGTCAATAACTATAATAATTTGTTCCTTTTTGGACGGTTGTATTTTGTATAGTTCGTTTCATCCTGGCAGATCCCAAAACCTTCTGCTTGTTGGATGTTGGACCCTCTGCTGAAGTGCTGCCCCAACCTGGCTGATGTTCAACACACATTCTGTGTCAGCAGCTCACTATCCAGCAGAGACCCTGAGATCAGGTAGTTCATCAAGCTGCCTAGTTCTGTGCAACAGCTGATCACTCTGAGAGGTCTGTGGAAATAACACGCTCTCTCCAGACACTTGGTTTTCAGTGTTTTTCTCTTTATTTTTGTATAATCCATCCATTCATTTTCTAGCCTGCTAATCCAAGCACTGAGTACAAGGTGGGACAGACCCTGGACTGGATGAAAGTCTTGCGCAGGGCACAACCGCAGATAAAGACACAGCCACATGCACTCACACCTGGGCCAGGAAACCCATGTGAACATGGGGAGAACATACAGACTCTACACAGACAGCACCCCGGGAATGGAACCCAGGGCCCCAGCACTGGGCGGCAGCAATGCTGATCACTGCACCAACGTACTGCCCCCATTTCTGTAGCATGAAACTCACACACTACCACGAGTTTTCGAAGGAAGGTTGAATTGAACTGTGTTCAACATTTACAAAGGAATCTCTCGACCAGAAATACACAATAATGAACGGAATGGGCAGCGAAGGATACTGCAACCAGTCCTAAACGCAGCAGAGTATCCCCTCACTCAAAGCGTAGGCTGAGCCCCATGTCCAGTTATCGCTGGCTGGAGCCTGGGCCACGTCACTACCCGACTGCGACTGGGATTCCCACTGTCGGACGAGCCCACATGGTGGAGCGTCACCTGCTTTGGTTTTGCTGGAAAGCTGGCGACTCCAAACTGGGTTTTGCAGAACAGTGTAAAACGAAGATGGCACCAGGCTGGCTCTCACTCACCCCATCTCTCTGGCCTGACAGAGCAGGTCTGCCAGGTGCTCTTCTGCCTCAGCCACCTGGGGGTGCTCAGGGCCATACCAGCGATGTCTGATGCTCAGGGCTTCCTGGTAGCAGGCCTGGGCCTCAGAGGGGTCACCCTGAGCAAGCCTGGAACATCGGAAGACTGGGCAGTGAGGTACTGTCCACACCTGAGCCACCTGCATGACCAGAGCGATCGCTGACAACACCATGTGACATCCAGGGCTGTGCTTGTTTGAGGGAATGTCCTATCGTCTGAGGTCTTAATTTTAGTCATGATTAATGCATAACGTACTAGAACCAAACGTCTTCCTAATTTTACTGTTACATAAAAAGCCCACATCCTGCACACCAAAGTTAAACCTAATGCCTGTTGATATCATGACGATAGAATTTTATAATGGTAATTAAAAGGCTTTCCTTGAGCTAGGAAATGTTTATAATTATATAATGTAAACTGAGTTTCCGGCAACATTATCCAGGAGCAAAAAATATTTTCCGGATGTTCAGTGCCAGCTTCTGACCCAAGCCTGAATTAAGACAGGCCAAGTCACGGGATGCCAGGAAAGTATTCTAGCGCCCTCTGTGGGTTCTTCTGGGTAACGCACTGCTTTGCTATCCTGCACCAGAAAAGGCTTCTCGAGCCAGAATCATGGATGTTTCAATTTTCAGCTAGTCACCATGACTAAAAATTAAAAACTACCATGATTAAAAGGTAGAGGAACAGCACATAGCTCCTAACAGACTGGGCAACCCTGTTTTACGTCACAGACAAAGGCAAGAAAACACACACAGAAACAGAAAGACATCAGCACTGATACTCAGAGTGTTAGATATCAGTGAGGACGATTAGGGCCTCACCAACCTGTGCATTCCCTGAAGGAGCTTCACGGTAGCCACCCTGGAGGGGTGGGTGCTGGCATGACTGAGAGCACTGATCTCGCTCAGAATGACACTGACATCAGGAGACCCACGTCCAGCAAGCAGGTGGCACAGCCTGCACAGCACCAGGCCTGCAGCATGCAACAATGCACGGTGTGGGAGGTGCAGCGCACACTCTTCCCAGAATTAATACTCTTTCCTACCTGGATGTCTAAAATTATTTTTGTATTATTATTTTCCTTTCAAAAACCACAAAGATCAACATGAGTGCAAGGATGCAAGATACATTACATCAGAATTAATACTTTCTTTATGAAAAGAACTGCTTTGATAGTGGAAAAAGCAAAATTCCATAATGATCTATAGATTCTTTTTAGAGGATAAAAAAGTACTTTTATTCGTGGAGAATGACATAGTATTCCATCTGATTATTATGCGTCTCAGAGTAAGAGCATCTGACACCGCTGCCCTCATTGCTCAGGAAGCTTTCACAAGGAAAGACTACCTCTTGCTCTTTCAATGTGATCGCTGCTGTCAGGGTGGTGTGACAGGCAGGTCTCCGCAGTGCTCAGAGCCTTGTGACAGTACATCTCAGCCCTCTCTAGCTGACCCATTGTGCTGTAGAGCTCTGCAAGCCTCTGCTCCACTCTCAGCAGCACTCCCATACTTTTTCTGTCTTTCAAATCAGCCTTCAAAGAAAGAAAAACATTCTTTTTGATATCTGCTTTAAAACTGAAAATGCCTTTCAGTTAACACAAAAAGGTGCAGTCATGATGCTTACTCTGTCTCCTTAAAATTATTCACAATTGCTGCCAATTCAGGGAGTTTCTCACAAACTGTAATGTTGTAACATTTTAAAACTTTGCCCTTTTTATGGTTTACCTCTACAAGACGTGATTCAGCCTCCAGCAGTAAAAACTCGCTTTCCGGTGTCTTTCCCAGGTCATTTAAAATGTCAGCAGAAAAAGCCATCAGCCTTGCTTGAACCCAGGTCTCTGGTAGTGGTTTATCTACTGCAGGAATTGGGAATGGTTACTTTAACTACTTCACATCATTGTATTTACACACATTTATATGTCTAAAGCAGGTCTAAATAGCTGATTTTCCACTTTCATATACAGTAATATTTATAATACGTGTCAGGGAGAAGGCTAGGGGTCAGTTTTAGGGTAAGGGACTCGGCTAGGGGTCAGGGTCACAGTCAGGGAGAAGGCTAGGGGTCAGAGTCACAGTCAGGGAAGGCTAGGGGTCAGTGTTAGGGTCAGAGAGAAGGTTAGGGGTCAGAGTCACTGTCAGGGAGAAGGATAGGGGTCAGTTTCAGGGTAAGGGACTCAGCTAGGGGTCAGAGTCACAGTCAGGGAGAAGGCTAGGGGTCAGTGTCATGGTCAGAGAGAAGGTTAAGGGTTAGAGTCACGGTCAGGAAGAAGGCTAGGGGTCAGTGTCACGGTCAGAGAGAAGGTTAGGGGTCAGGGTCACGGTCAGGAAGAAGGCTAGGGGTCAGTGTCACAGTCAGAGAGAAGGTTAGGGGTCAGAGTCACTGTCAGGGAGAAGGCTAGGATTCAGTGTTAGGGTCAGAGAGAAGGCTAGGGTTCAGTGTTAGGGTGAGGGAGGTTAGGGTTCAGTGTTAGGGTCAGGGAGTAGGCTAGGGGTCATATAGGTGGTTCTTAAAGAATCCCAGAGCTTGGACTTCAACCCCATGTCTCTTCCAGTCATCCACACCTCTTTGTATAAATAAGTTTTTCCTACTATCTGTGCTAAATGAATTCGCTTCTAATTTCCAAATGTGTCCTTGTTTCCTTATTTCATTACTTACTGTGAAGAAGTACCATTTCTTTCACCGTTTGTTCTAGACTAATGACATTTAGTTATTTTAACCTGTGTGTATGAAAATCGCCTGAGGAAACTTAAATCAAAAGAAAATAATGAAGTGCAATACCGGTTAGTATCATAACTGTTGTACCTATAAATGTAGCTGTGCTCTTCCTCTCCTCAGATGCATGTTTCAGGCCACACAGGTTCAGGAGAGACAGGAAGGGATCACACCCTCTTCCTGCCAGCAGTCCCCAGTACCTGACCAGGTCAGCCCTCAGCTGCAGAAACTGTGCCGAGCTTCTGGACAGGATGTCAACAATCCTGAACAAGGCAAAGTAGTCTCATTCAGAATAATCATGACATCATAATGTAGGAATAATGGTACAAGTGAGAGGAGGCCATTCATCACATCTAGCCTGTTGGGTAGCTAAAACCTAAACTCAGGATCGAGCTATTTCCTGAAGGACGCCAGTGTATTGGCTTCAGCAACATGGTTGTGTTATTCCCAACACCCACAACTCTATGGGTACAGAAGTGTCTCCGGTTCTCTGTTTTAAAGGCACATCCACACAGTTTCCACTGTTTGTGTGCGTTCTGGTCTGTGTTTCCCTGTTTACTCTAGAGAAGCCCTCTGGATCCACTTCATCACTGCTTTTGTTTGCCCTGAGTCCCTGCAGGTCAAGAGCCACAAGGCCTTTTTCGGTATCACCTGCAAACTTGCCGAGTTTACTAACTGCTCCAGAATACGGATACACTTAGGTCTGATCTGCAGCTCTGCCACAGGGTGATTTCTCCTAAGACCTTTCTTGACAATTACTCCTTTTATAAAAATGTTGTGATTTAGCACTTAACAACAGCTTTCGTGTAAATATCCTTCTTGGATGCATGCATGGTTATTGAGATCAGATTTCAGAATTGGCATGTGACCTGATGGCTTTTAACAAAATCAGCACTTAAATGTGAATACCGTAGTCATATGCACAAGTGACATATGTGTTATTTTATTCCTCCAAATACAGGAATTACTTTTATAATTGATTCGGTAACTAAAAGTGCAATTGGAGTACAATTCTCATTGGAAAATAATTTTTTTTTTGCTCTATCAACACTTTCTCCGCTGATCCAGAAAGGGCAAAGCCATTTCTGAAATGCACATTCCCAACACCAGGTGGAGGCCCTGTGAGAGGCGGCGACTGACCCAGGATCACACAGGAAGGCGCGCAGCTCCTCCCAGGACTCGGCCCGCTCCAGGTGCCAGGGCACCTCCAGGAACACCCTCCTGCAGGGGGCGCCATGCAGCTGCTGGAAGAACTGGGCCAGAGCCCTGTGGAAGGCCTTCCTGCTGCCATCACAGCAGCCAGACTCCTGCCCGGCAGGCTCCGCTCCTGACAGGGGGGAGACAGACCTCAGAGCCGAACCAGAACGCTGACTCCTGACCTCCTCAGCTTCGCACCTTGACGCATCGGCAGTTCTCAGGACTCATGACCCACTGCGTGGCTCCCCTGCCTGTGGCCCTCCCCCACTAGAGAATGTCTCCCACAACCAGTTCCTCATTTCTTCAACCTGTAATGAATACAGTCAAAACCCCCTGCTTGTGCTGTGTGTGCTGCAGGGTAGCAGGGAAGTGAATTGGAAGGGCTACGTGCTGAGGAGCCTTGCACTACTGCATGTTCGCTTTGCAAATAAGAGCGGCCATCAAGCCACTCAAAGAGTCAAACGCCAATTATTTTCACTAGCCCACCCAATGTGGAACTGGCAGCGCCGCCCCACACAGCAGGTTCAGTGCCCACTGGAGGAGAGGTGTATCCCTCACTGCCTACACTCGCCTGGGAGGCCACAGGGGGCGCTGTGGTGGCGGCAGAGAGCCGAGAGAGCTCTGACAGACTGATCCCGCCCTCAGCCACTTGTGTGCAACCGCTCGGGGAATCGCAGTAACAGTCGTCTAGTGCTTGAACCCACAGCCAGGCTTGAACCCATGGCCAACAATCATCAGTGGAAGCAGCCCTGTCGTATTAGGACATGCTCTGAGTGGAGGACGATTCCCTGCCCCGGCCCTGTACTTTCAAGGCCCTGGCTTGCTGTGTGTGTGTGGCAGCAGAGAAAGACGGAAGGCAAGGGCAACGAGCAGCACGGGCCCTTACCCAGCAGCTGGAGGTCCACCGCCTGGTGCAGGGACTGGTGGGTAAGGCTCAGCAGGCCGCTGGGGCCCTCCTGGATCCAGTGCCAGGAGGCTGAGCGGAACAGGGCCCAGTCAAGCGGCAGGACCTTCCGGGCTCCGCGGTAGCCCAGGGTGTGCAGCAGGCTCAGCAGCTCCTCCTCCCTCAGCCCGCAGCGTGCCAGGCGCAGCAGACACAGCACGGCCCACACCCAGCCCCGCGGTCCTGCAGCACGGAGGACAGACCCGCACAGGTGCAACAGGTATCGCAAGACAGGCGGCCAGCGGCATGAGGTATCAGGGTATCACTCGACAACCCTGCGTTAGTCCCTCCGGAAACCCGACAAACATACAACATAATACAATCTTACAGTAGTTTTAGGAAGTACGTTTTTTCTGTAATTTAGGAAACAAGGAAGGGCATTATTAACGGAGTTTGCACAAATAAATCTGGCTTTTGCAGAATTCTGGAGGAGCTTTTTTAATACAAGAATCATAAATCAATGATACTAAAGAAAACTGCAGGCCTTGACATGACACTTGATCCTCCAGTTTTTACAAAAATGAGCTTACTAAAGCCTTCTGCAAACTTAATTTTCTGTCTTTTTCTCCAGATTCCCAAAAAGTGACAGGTGTCAAGTTTCTTTTGTTACCATTAAAAAACGGAAAAGGTTCTATTTAACCACTAGTACAGTTGAGAATTCAGTAAAGCTCACCGGGAATGAAAACCAGGACTGGGAAACCTGGTCTTAACACGTTGCAGTTTAATTTTCCTGCAGCACGTGGCACAGGGCTTTCCTCGGCTGATTACTTTGTGTGCGCATTCTTATCGGAAGCTTGGAAATTTGAATGCAGGTGCACATTTGGAATGTCTCTTGCCTACAGGAGAAAACAGCAAACCGGCAGGTTACCCACCTGCCTGTGCATCTCTAGCTGGGGCTGCTGCCCTCTTCCTGCCCCGACGGGTGGTGCTCTCACAACCCCAGCTGTAGTCCTGGACCCAGCGCTCTATCACCAGGGCCCACAGCTCCTGGACAGACCACACCCCCAGGTACTCCTCCAGCTTCTGCTCCTCGTCCTGCAGTGCCCCGCAGGTGCGCAGCTCGCCGCCCACAGCAGACAGAAACACCGGGAGGAAGCTCAGGTTTTTTGCCAGCAGGCCTTCCAGCTGAGCCCCCAGGATGTGTCTGCAAGGCAGCGCCAAGTGTTTCCGCACGATAGCTCCCCTCACGGCGGGGTCAGCTGGGCTGGGGCAGTGCAGCACGTGCACATCTGTGCGAGAGCTCAGGTACTTGCAGGAGAGGTCCGCGCTGCTGGAGGTGAATATCAGTTTGCACCGAGGAGGCAGGGGGTCGGGAAGCCATTGCAGTTTTTTCACCTGCGTCAAAGGAGCACATTAAAAACACAAACACACAAACACGATCTACCATTGAAAGCTTCCAGCTGTCTGCTTGCAATGTAGCATAACACTGACATTAACAGAGAAGACTGATTATTTATTCAGAATCCACAAAACCGCTGCTTGTGGTTCAAGGACATGGTAACGGATAAGTACTAAACCACAATGCGCAATGCTGCGTCTTCCTGAGCTACAGGAGACTGCCCTCCTACATTACAGGCACAGCGATAAGGTACTGATAAGGCTTGTGTTCTATTAAATCCTCTAGCACACTTGTGAAATATAAAGGGCCCTTTCTTTGCCCTACATGAAGGAGAAAAGCTCAAGGGTAAGCTAAAATTCCTACATTTTATTTATGAAGGACAAAGCTGAATTGGCTTTTAAAATACAAGCAAGAATGTCCTCTCTGCCTCTTGGACGATCTGGCATGTACCCTGTCCTGCTCTGTGTTTGCACTGGAACATTGCACTCATTGGAAGAACAAACAGGACAAAAGGGCAGAGAAAAAATGTCAGGTTTGCATAGCAAAATGGCTTCTGAGAAGACAACTCCATATTACAGCGCATCATGTCATCACAAGAAAAGAAGGAAGAGAAGGAATCAGTAGAAATTGTATTTACTGTGTAATCAATAACAGCCCCAACTAGCTCTGTTGGTAGAGCATGAGACTCATAATCTCAGGGTAGTGGGTTCGTGTCCCATGTTGGGCACAAGGTTCTCTGCTCCGTGGAAAGCGAAAGGCATGACAGAGCACAGAAAGGTGTCATGGCCATCCATTGCAACCAAGGAAGTCTCCAGTCGTGACGACAACTCGTACCGCTGGACCCCGGCTTCTGAGGTCGAGAGAGTAGGACTGCCCAGTGCAACAGCCTTCCCACTTCTAAAAGCTCTCCTGCACAGCTTTCTTCATGGAGCTCATCTTCCACACAGATGAGCTGCACAAAGTACAAAGGTCATCGTCGGACAGGACAGACGACCATCATAATCAATAACAGAACACGCCCTTAACCTGGAACCCTGAAATAAGCCCCAACCCCAGATCAGCCAGCCCGCGGCTCTGCAAGAGAGCCAGTGGTATACCTCCTGAGTCGACAGCCCGAGGGTCCCTTCCAGTTCGTCCAGCCCGTCCAGAACCAGGACACAGGGCCTCAGTCCAGCCGCTGCAGCAAAGGCCTGGACTGCCTGGGGGAAAGACAGGGGCTCCGCCGTGGCCTCAGATCCCCCTCTCCAGGCACCCTCAGCCCCTGCAGGTACAGCACCACAGGCTGACTGGGGAGGCAACTGGCTCCTTATCTGCCTCTTCCCATCTGCTCACTTCCCTTCTAACAATGCTCTTTTTTAAAATAAAATTCAGAACAGCCAGTTATATTGTGTTATAAGCACCCAAGCTGGGCTGGCCAGCTGTGTGTTTCTTACATGTTGGCTCACAGACACAAGTTCTGTGCCAGCTCACAGTGGAGAGCAAGGTAGTACACGCAGACTCCCCACCCACCAGCCCCTCAGTGCAGAACAGCTGCTGTGTCACCCCTCTGCCTGGGGCATCCTGGGCATAGCCAGCTAGTAACATGACCCAGGCTCGAACCCGTTACCGCAGCTCTCAACCTGCACTCCACTGCTTTCATCTATTGAGCCACTCAGTATGCCCCTCAATCATTCTAAGTAAATGAATCAGAAAATCAACTATTTTAATAATGTGTCCTCATTTCCTGAACCATGGTTTCATGCTCAAGCTGGTTCACTCTGGAGTTGTCTCCAGAAATGCTCCTCCATAAGGATGTTTGCAAATTGTGCAAAATGGTCCTCTTGGAAACACTGAAAACAATAGCCTTTTAGGGTATTTGTTATTTGAGCTGCATCTGTACACATTTTGCACTGTTACACTGCAATATTTTGAAGTTCTTATTGTAAGTCCCAGTGAGTAAAGACGTCCGATAAATCAATTAAGTAATAAATAACATCAATCTATCCATCTGTTTTCCAACCCTTTTATCCAATTCAGGTTTACAGGTGAGCCTAACCCGGTCAATATACAAAGTTCATGCAGAGAGCACTCAAGGGCTCCGAACTGAGAACTGACCCCAGGGCCCCTGGACTGCGAGGCAGCAATGCTGACCACATCCTAATAACAATTATCAACAATACAGAAAATAATATTCATAACACAGGTTACAACATGCTGTCAAGCTTCCAGGTGCCCAGTAATAAAACAGCTACAGTATATTATTGCACAAGCATCACGCCCTACTCCTCACAGTGTCTCGGTACACTACCGTAGCTTGCACAGCGAAGAGCTGAGGTGCAGTGGCTGAGAAAGATCCTGACATCAGCGCTGGCGGGACTGGCTCCCACGAAATAGGGTACGACCAGGATTCCGGAACTCTTCCGACAGAAATCCCGGAGCCAGCTGGCAACCATGGATGACTTGCCACACCCCCTGGAGCCACAGAGCAGGAGGATGGATTTCTGGGCCGGTTCTTCTGTCAGCTGCTGTCCTGAGCTGAAGAGAATATACAAAAACATATCAGTGGCCTCTTGTAGCTCAGTATTTCCCATTTTGTATTTCAAATTTATGTTTTAACTGCCTGTCTGCACTTCCCTGTACGTTTTCTGCTTTAAACATCACTTGCCACAGTATGCCCAATCTTGAATTTTATCTAAATCTTTTTTTAATTTAATTTTGCCTCTATGGTGTTTTCTGGTATTAACTGAAAACCTGACTAGTTCACTAAACTACCCCAGATTCTGATCATTGTCATAAATTAATAAGAGTAACGGTCCTAAGAGATCCCTGCAGCAGTCCACTAAGTACATCAGTGAATGTAACGGTGTTACTGGCTTAATTCAAACCGTTTTTTCTCTGGGTACTGGAGATGCACAGGGACATGAGAGATCACAGACGGATCAAGAACTGGAGTGGAGCACTCCCAGGCTAGCCTCAGAGTGAGATATCTCCTAGACTGAGCACTGAAGGTTAAACAGAAAAGGTCACTGAAAAGGGACTTTGAAATAACTACTCCAATCTTTTTTGGTACATTTTACCTTGTATTTTCAGCTTTATCAGTTCCCCTGGGAAGGACATTATCCTGGGTCTGGGCGTCGGTAGTGGCAGAGAGTGCAAACGCGTCGAGTGAGTCCGAGACCCGGCCCGACTGCAGCCAGGGAACGAAGCTCCGACAGCAGTGCTGTGCGAAGGCCTGGTGATGTGCGTGAGGGGGGCTGTGCTGAAGGCCTGGACAGTTGGCAACAAGGGCATTGGTTACTCTCAGCACCTTCACAAGCCTCTCTCTCTCTTCAGCCTTGAGCTGAAGAAGACAACAAGGCAGTAAGATAAGATAATATAAGATCACTTTATTGGCCATATACAAATACTTGAATTAGGAATTTGTCTTTTCACATTCCCCAGCCTGCTCTCCATGAGACACACAGACAGGGAGAGAAGCTTGGGGTCAGAGTGCAGGGTCAGCCATTTATACAGCACCCCTGGAGCAGCTGGGGTGAAGGGCCTTGCTCAGGGGCCCAACGGAGTAGGATTCGAACCGGCAACCTTCCAGCCACAGGCGCAGATCCTGAGCCACAGAGCCACCGCTCCACCAGCAAGACAATGCAGAAAAAAAACAGCACACAACGAATTCACAGGCTGTAAAAGAGAACCACATGAAGTATCTTAAGCCGGCTTACCAACAGATGTATTAACAGTGTCTAGAGAACAAAACTGTTTGATAATTGTTCTCCAGTCTTCAATCACTTGCTCTCCCAGCTCTTGCAGACTTCTGAAGAACCTGACAGGCAGACACTTATTAATGATCTTGGTCTTTAGTTCCCTCACCCTCTGCTCTTCGAAAGCTGTCTGCCTGGACATGACGCTCAGCAGTCTCTCGTTTTCGGCATCGGAAGCCCCATCATCGTAGGAGTAATCTCTGAAGTAGAAAAAACACCCAGAGGAGTCCTTGAGGGAAGCAGCCTGGGTGACCTCCAGCTCTGTCAAACTGCAGGTTTGGTTTCTGCCCTCGAGCACCCAGGGATAACCATGCTTGCTGGCAACGTAAAGATTTTTCTCCACTTCAGACAGGCCATCTAGACTATCTATGGAAGCTGGCAAAGGTGCAGAGCTCTCTGGCCGAAAAGCTCCATACCGTTGGCCCAGCAGGCACATGAAAACAGAACAACAACTGATGTAATCCAAGCTGATCTTCAGCTGTTGTGAGGAGACGAGTTTGCGGTGGGGGTGATGAGGAGACCAGTTCTCTGCTTCTCCCCTGTTCCACCGTAGGTTCACAGGCTTGAACCGGGCTCCTCCGGCCTGACATATCCTGTCAAGCTGAGGGAGGAGCTCTCTCTCCAGGTAGTTTCGTTCTGGCTGGAGATCGTCAGGAACAGTACACAGGAATGTCCAAACGGACGCTTCACGGGAGAAACAGAGGCAGGTCTCCTCTTCATCATCTTCATTCAGGGCACCAAGCCCCTCCATCTCCTTCACTCAACCTCACTGAAGTGACTTCTTGTACTTCTTGTAGTGATCTCTGTGCCTGGGAAAAAAGAACAAGTTACAGTATGTTAGCACGGCAGCTGATATTATTGTTAAAGGAAACACAGCAAGGTGTTAAAATCCAAAACCCTTTATGATAGCACAAAGTTTCCAGTCATCTTACATCTGTTCTTTTCCCTAAATTAAAATAATTAGCCAATAATTTGTTTCCAATGTATAAGAAGTGTCTGTGGTCTTTTAAACAAAAACAGATGCACTGTTCTATTCAGTGAAAATCTCTGTAGTGTAAAGGCAGCTGCTGTTTTACTAAAACATATATAGTTCTTCAGTAGTTTCACGAGCAGCAGCTGTAATAAAGGTGGACATCAGGCTCCATCAGTTCACCTCATAATCTTCTTTAAGCCCAGGAATTCACCAGGTTAATCCTCACCATTGTGTATAGCACAGCAGCAATATTCTTTTGTATTTTCTAAACTTTTACACAGTACCCCAAATGAGGTCTTCAAATTGTACCTTTCAAATGTGATGCCTTCCAAAGGTATCCAGCGCCTTCCAATGCTGTCCAAAGATAAGTTTGTTGAATAACAAATTATGAAGACAGAATTTTTAAAAGTGAATTTTTAATCAACACCTGAAAGCACGAACTATACATACATAGGTTAAAAGAAGAAGTCAACTGTCGCCACAAACTAAAAGTAAAAAATCCTAAACTACAACACAGTATGTTGATTGCATACGTGTTCACCCCCTTTGCTGTGGCAAACCTAAATTAGTTCAGAAGCACAAAACCACTTGGGCAAGTCAGACAGTTAGTTGAATGGTCTCTAGAGCATACAGCAATGGTGGTCCACGTGAAACTCAGGATTAACACTGCAAGGTTCCTCGGTCAGGTAATGAGTCAAGCGCAGATCCCACCGCGAAGTGCAAGAGGCTTTCAGAACAAGTCAGGAACAAAGCTGGAGGAAGGCACACATCGGGAGAGGACACATCCACAGACTGAGCCTCTCTTTGAGCGTGGAGAGGCCTGTCTTTAGGACGTGGAAGGTGTATCGTACCACACAGGCGTGGAAACAGGGGAGAAGTGACTGTGAGGCCAGTGTCTTCAGTGACTGAAGTGGGAGAACAGGTACATGTACAGGACTGCACAAGAATGAATCAAATAAGAATACCCTTTTCGGACATTTAATTTAAATTTTATTCTAACTACACCGGTTTCCGGGCTTAGCACTGGTTTCACTGACCCTCTTTAGCACTAGCCGGACCCTGGCACTAAACTGACACCAGGGAGCCCGGCTTGACTTCTCCCCACAGTCTGCTGAACACACTGGAGTGACACAAACGGTTTACTCAAACGGTTCATGCTGTAGGCTGAGAATCGCTGAGAGGCGAATCGCGGCCAGAGTCGCGGGGGCTAGAGACGTCCTCCGTTGATGAGCCGGATTGTTTTAAAGTGCATTGAATCATTACTGTGTTTTCAAGAGAACTGAACAGACTGAAAGGTGTAAACTGTCTCTCTCTCGCTTGTATCCTTCTGTTACAGCTGCGTCGTGTGAGCTCACCTGCGCGAAACCGGGACCCCGGACACCGCGGAAGAGAAACCAGCCTGGGCTCCCGTTGTCATAGCAACAGTGTCAAAGTGGTTGCTAAGGTAAACGTTGCAAGGTTCCCGGATGTTCAACCTTCGCACCGCTCGCGATAACTATTTCCTCTAGTTCGCAACATATCGCATTTAATCAGTCACTTTCCGTTCAAAAATGAGTCACCTGTAGCTATAATAAGTCGTTAAAAAGAAAACTGTGGAACAATTATTCTCTCTGTAATCCAACGAGGACTGCTGTTTATATCAGCCAATTGGAGCGAGCCACGCTCCCGACGTATGAAGATGGACATGGAAGGCGGTGATTGGCCGAGCGGGGCAGCGGCTCCTCCGGCCATTGGCTGCTTGTTGTGCGTGGTGTGCGCTGATTGGCCGGCGGGCGCCTCGGGCCCGCGCGGGTGCGGGCCGTGATAAAGGCTGGCGAGCGCTCGCCCGCTCCAGAGTTCGGTGTCTTTCTCGGAGAGTCGGGCTGCGGGACTCGGCGGAGCTGTCGGTTATATTGCACGGTTTTCTGTCAAAATGAAGAAGTTGTGGATGGTGGGGCTCCTTTGTGCTCTTTTGGCATTTAGTAAGTACCGCCTTTTTTGCGGAATATCACTGTCCTGGACTTTTGAGTTTGTGGGCTCTTGTTCATATAATGCCCCTCAAGTAGTCAGTGCTTTTTCGTTTAGCTGCACTGTTTTAGCTAGTTCGCCAAATACTGCACTGCACGCCTTAATGTGCGATTTCCGCATGTGTTTTTCGGCACGGCGAGGGCTTTTTTGAGGTCTTGCAATGGCTCATATGCTGTCTCTAAATCCTTATTATTGAGTGCGTTATACAGTAGATAGAACTTCTACAAGAACAACAATGGCTCTTAATCGTCTTTATAGAAGCAAATGAGGCTCACTTCACTGGAAACGGGGGCTTTTCCATGTTGCACAGGCCTATTTCGAGGGGTGTGTTTTGTTTTAAGCGAGCCAACTGCGTCTTTCTAGAAAGTTCCTCGCGAATCGGTGGTTTCTGCACCCGTCTGTGGTGCTGAGGTTCTCGTGTGCGAGTCTTAGATGGAGCAGGGGCGCCGATGCGAGATTCAATATGGTTTTCTTCCAGTCGGCCCCTGCGATGCGCTCTGGGGTCGCCAGGATAAACCTTGAGAGCGGGCTGGGGGTCCGCGTGTCCGTGGGGCCTGCTGTCGCGGGAGGCCGCCGTGTGTGCAGACAGGTGCGCTCGCAGGTGTCCGTCCTGTGCAGGTGGCCTGGAGGGGGTCTCCCCTGTCCCCGGCTGGGGATTACGACTGCATCCTCCCAGCGTGACCGATGTCGCCTCTGGCAGCGTGTGCGGAATCTTTCCCCGGTAAACGTACAGAAAAGGGGTCTGATGCAACTGTGGGACATGCTAGACCAATCCCACCTGGGACTCCTCCTCATTTGCATCTCTGCCACAGATGTTCCGGGGTGGCTTGTGGGTCTGCGAGGTCGGAAACGGCCGTGCAGTAGGTTTCGTACTGCAGTGCACAACTCCTGGTTGTGGTGAAGAAACTGGATACACTTGTCTCTCTCTTTTTAATTAGAGAGACAAAGTCGAGTAATTCACGAGGGTGCAGTATGTTTGCTCCCCCCGTGCAAGTTTTACTTCATGCTTAATTCCTTTTGTTCTCTGCAGCATCGGTTCGCGCCAGCGACGAGGAGTTGGACGTGGACGGCGCTGTGGAGGAGGACTTGGGCAAAAGCAGGGATGGATCCAGGACAGACGACGAAGTGGTTCAGAGGTGCGTGTCTAAGCGCACGCGTGCTGGTGTACTGAGCAGGACGGGTGCTTTGTATCTGTCTGGAGGCCTGCTGCAAGAAGCCACTTCCCTTCGCGATGGCTGTCTTCTGGGCCTGTGTGCATCAGTGTGCTCTTAATCGCTAAATCAAGACTGACCCAGCTGCCAGTCTTTACGGCTTATAAACCTGCTGTTTGATGGCAGCTACCTCCATTCCAGACCACAGCCCGAGGCGGTGACGAGGCCCGTCACTGCTGCTTTAATTTATAAATCTGCTAGTGCCGGGTGGCTGGTCCATCCCTTTCCCAGTAAGGAAGTATATTTAGAAATGGAATATAAGTTTTCAAGCAAGCTTCCCTGGGGGTGGGGGAAAGTCAGACCTATTCTGCTGCTTTGAAGGAGAGGGAAAAGTCACTGCCCACATGACTTCCTGGTGATGTTGCGCCGGAAGTGGCTTCACCGCCTGTTACACAGTGTAGCCGGCTGTACTTGGTCCCTATTGTGAGTGATGTGACTGGTGAGATGAGGGGCACCAGCAGCAGTGATGGGGTGGGGGGGGGCCCTCAGTCCACACCGCATGGTAGCCCTCTGGGCTCTAGATGCTGTGTTTACCGAGTATCACAAGTGAGGCTGACGACTTTCCTCCTGTTTCCTGTGTGCAGGGAAGAGGAGGCGATCCAGCTGGATGGCCTGAATGCGTCGCAAATCAAGGAGCTGCGGGAGAAGTCGGAGAAGCATGTCTTCCAGGCTGAGGTGAACAGGATGATGAAGCTGATTATCAACTCCCTGTACAAGAACAAGGAGGTAAGTGGTGTCAGCCATAACTCCAACAGTTACCATGACTGCAGTGTGGCTTTTGTTTTTGTTTTTTTCCCAAGTTTGTCTTGGCTGATCCTTGCTCTCTTTTAGATCTTCCTCAGGGAGCTGATTTCCAACGCTTCCGATGCCCTGGATAAGATTCGGTTGCTGTCCCTAACTGATGATGATGCTCTGGCTGGGAATGAGGAGTTGACCATTAAAATAAAGGTTTGTTAAGACAACATCTTTTTGGGGATTATACCTGAATAACCCAGCAGAGGATCCTTACTAAGAGAACTTAAAATGTGATTAGGTGTCTGAGACATGGAGTAAAAAGACTTGGTGGTCAGACCTTTTAAATTCTATCTATATAGACACTCCCAACTTACCTTTAGAGAGTGCTTGAGTTCCCATTGCAGCAGCACTTCTGCCACCCCTTTTAACTTTTAACTAGAGAAGGAACTCGGTTTCTTTTATTGTGATGCCTCGGTAGAGGCAGCTCATGGGGAAGCTTGTCTTGCAGTCTGACAAGGAGAAGAACATGCTGCACATCACCGATACTGGCATCGGAATGACCAAGGAGGACCTGGTGAAGAACCTGGGTACGATTGCGAAGTCGGGGACCAGCGAGTTCTTGAGCAAGATCACAGAGATGCAGACAGAGGGCCAGTCTACCTCGGAGCTCATCGGCCAGTTTGGTGTTGGCTTCTACTCCGCCTTCCTGGTGGCGGACAGGGTCATCGTCTCATCCAAGCACAACAACGGGACACAGCACATCTGGGAATCTGACTCCAACGAGTTCTCCGTCATTGAGGATCCCCGCGGGGATACACTGGGCAGAGGCACCACCATCACGTGAGTTAACCAGAAGTTTTGCGAGTAAATCTGCCAAATTTGCCAATTTGAAACAGCGATAAGAACATGTTGCTAGTTAACTCCGATTGTAACTCTTGCCCCAAGTTATAGCCGTATGTTTAAATAGTCAACAGACAATCTTTTGTACCTGAGTATTTTCATATTTGGTTTTCTAGGAGCCATGTAAAATGTCTTGGTTTATGTGCTTGTTCATTGACACTTTTTGCTTTGCTAATTCTTACCAGATTGGTGATGAAGGAGGAGGCATCCGACTTCCTTGAGTTGGACACAATCAAGAACCTTGTGAGGAAGTACTCCCAGTTCATCAACTTCCCCATTTATGTGTGGAGTAGTAAGGTAAGACGGGTTGCTGTTGGTTTAGCCTGAAGGTTTCACCCACATGGTGCAGGGGGCTGGCCGTTGCTGAAGCACTGCTGCTCTTTCCAGACTGAGACGGTGGAGGAGCCCATTGATGAGGAGGAAGCGGCGGATTCAGACAAGAAGGAGACCACTGATGAGGAGGCAGAGGCAGAGGTGGAAGAGGAAGAGGAGGAGAAGGAGAAGCCAAAGACGAAGAAGGTATGGTAATCGGCATGGAGGTCACTTCAACAGCTGCATGGTTGTTCTGCCTTTTGGGAGATCCTCCTTACATGGCTCCTGTCTCTCTGCAGGTGGAGAAGACTGTGTGGGACTGGGAACTGATGAATGACATCAAGCCCATCTGGCAGAGACCAGCCAAGGAAGTGGAGGAGGAGGAGTACAAAGCTTTCTATAAGTCCTTCTCCCGGGTATGATGGCTTCTTATCAGATTAGAGTAGATTCAGGTTGACTAGGATTCTTTGCCTTTCCGTAAGGCAAGCTTAAAATAACTTTTTTTTTAATATCCTGCTACAGGACTCTGACGAGCCGTTGTCTCACATCCACTTCACTGCTGAGGGAGAGGTTACGTTCAAATCGATTCTGTTTGTTCCTAGCGCTGCTCCTCGGGGCCTCTTCGACGAGTATGGCTCCAAGAAGAACGACTTCATCAAGGTGTGAAAGCTTTTGTCTTGAACCACCAGTCTGGAGTTGGAACAAAAGATCTTGAGGGCTTTGGCTCTGCACTGCTGCGTTGGATTGCTCCCAGGATATAGAGCATATGTAAACTATTTGGGGATTTATAGAAGGTTTATGAATTCTATATAATATTTTTGATGGAACCTAGGAACTAGAGCTTAAAGATGTTCTCCCAAAAGACAATTACGATGTATAAATCTTCTGTTCAGCCGCTAACTTGTCCTTTCCCTTGCCTCCAGCTGTTTGTCAGGAGAGTTTTCATCACAGATGACTTCCATGACATGATGCCTAAGTACTTGAACTTCATCAAGGGAGTGGTGAGTCATGAATACTCTGGGATGGACATCTTAAATTTGGGCTTGTTCTATCGCTCATCATTTTGTTTAAAATATCTGCATTCTTTTTGTCAGCACACTAAACCCATTACTACTACAGAGTGAATTATGTTCCTGATTGGATTGTAACCTTCTGTGCAGGTTGACTCGGATGATCTTCCCCTGAATGTATCCAGGGAGACGCTGCAGCAGCACAAGCTCCTGAAGGTAAGGTGGTTTTTCTCGGTTTCTTAAAATCTCTTAATTTAACCAACTCCTGTGGTTCTTGAAAAGGTGGGACTGAGAACGCCCCTGTTGCAGAACTGCCAGGGACGCTGTTCTCTGATGCCAGTTTGGGTGATTGTTAAAACAGGTAATCCGTAAGAAGCTGGTGCGCAAGACCCTGGACATGATCAAGAAGATTGCGGAGGAAACCTACAATGACAAGTTCTGGAAGGAGTTTGGCACCAACATCAAGCTGGGGGTGATCGAGGACCACTCCAACAGGACGCGCCTGGCCAAGCTGTTGCGCTTCCAGACCTCCCACAGTGAGAGTGGATTCAGCAGCCTGGAGCAGTACACGGAGAGGATGAAGGAGAAGCAGGACAAGATCTACTTCATGGCTGGAACCAGCAGGAAGGAGGTAGGAAGACCTGGTCAAAGCCTCCGCAGTTGCACTTCAATGGAGTGTGAAGAAAAATGTTTAGGGTCTTAATACTTACACCTCACAGTGGGAATGCCCGGGAAACCCACTTCTAAATCTCCTGATTTCCTACAAGGAATTGTTTTTCTGTCAACTTTCAGTACTTTGTGTTTAACGTTTATCTTGGATGAGTCATGGTGTGAATGATCTGAAAATGCTATTGTGAAGTAGTTAGCTGAAGGACAGGGTAGACGTTTGCTAGTTTCACAGCCTTTAACCCAGCTCCCCCCAACTGTAGGCAGAGTCCTCTCCTTTTGTGGAGAAGCTGCTGAAGAAGGGCTATGAAGTGATCTATCTGACTGAACCCGTGGACGAGTACTGCATCCAGGCGCTGCCCGAGTTCGACGGCAAGCGCTTCCAGAACGTGGCCAAGGAGGGCGTGAAGTTCGAGGAGAGCGAGACGGGCAAGGAGAAGAGGGAGGCCTTGGAGAAGGAGTACGAGCCCTTGACCACCTGGATGAAGGAAAAGGCACTTAAAGACAAGGTAAGGGGTGAGGCAGGTTGGCAGCTGAAGAATTCGAAGGTGTGTTGTGGATTTTAATACCAACTATTGCAGAAGTGAAGATGAAACCTCATCCCATTTAATTTGTCCTTTTTGAGATGCTTGTTTTTTTTTTCCTTTTCTGTGACTTCACTGTATAACACTAAATGTAACCTTTCTAGTAGGTTTCCTTGGCTTAACTGAGCATGTTCCAAAATGCGCTTTGTGAGGCAGCCGGTCCTGATGCCTCCTGTGCCCTGAACTTGTCATTCCTGCCTTCCAGATTGAGAAAGCTGTCCTGTCCCAGAGACTCACCGACTCTCCCTGCGCTCTTGTCGCCAGTCAGTATGGCTGGTCTGGAAACATGGAGAGGATCATGAAGGCACAAGCTTATCAGACAGGAAAGGACATTTCCACAAAGTGAGTTTTATCTTAACTTGAAAATGAGCATAATGCGACATTTTGACCCTAGAAATGCAGATACACTTTCTAATTCTGTTTTTTTTTTTATTCATCTAGCTATTATGCCAGTCAGAAAAAAACCTTTGAGATTAACCCAAGACATCCTCTCATCAAGGAGATGCTGAGGCGAGTAAAGGTAAGTAACTTGAAGTTCATCAAGCTCTGCTGAACCAATATTGCAACATTAAACGGACCATCCTGTTATCTGAACAGTAGCAGGCTGGTATGATGTTTAAAGACGTACTTTGTGTTTCTAGGACAATGCAGAAGATGAGACGGCCTCCGATCTGGCTGTAGTGCTGTTTGAGACGGCCACCCTGCGGTCTGGGTACCAGCTTGTCGATACCAAGGCGTACGGCGATAGAATTGAGAGGATGCTGCGGCTCAGCATGAACGTGGACCTCGCTGAGGCGGTATGTTTACCCCAGTGGCCTGGTGACCTGTCTGTCCTGGAATGAGATTGTCAAGGGACTTTTATGAATTTGCTCCTATTGGAGGAAAAATCCCACACCCATTGTGCGTTTTGGTCATATTGAAAGGGCTCGCTTTAGTGAAAGGTTACAAATGAGGAGGCCATAAAAATATTGGTGAACTGAAATATCTCTGGTCTTGGCCAGGTGGAGGAGGAGCCGGAGGAAGAGCCAGAGGAGCCAGGGGAGGAGGAAGACGCCGAAGAGGAGGTGAAAGCAGAAGATGAAGAGACGGTGAGTTGAATCTCTTTACTTTCCTGTCAAGAGGCAAGGGAAGCTTCAGCAGAAAGAACCCAGCTGCCCCACTGGTTAACAGCAGATCAGCTGGGTTGGCTTCCACCTGTACTGGTCTCGTTTAAATGGCTCAAGATAAAACGGTCACAGCTGTTTAGTTCATGACTTTAGCCTCCATGCCAAGTAGAATCCCTTTAGTGTGGGGGGGTAGAGCATCTGTCCTGGTCGAGTTTGTATCTACTTTCGGATCGTCTTCATCAGTTTTTCTCTTCTGCCCCCTTCAGCAGACATCGAGCGAGAAGGACGAATTGTGAAGCACTGAGGGGGCGGGGAGCAGGCTGGGGCCGTGAGGGGGAGCAGTCTCCACACCTGGAGCCGGCGGGCCAGAGCGCTCTCTCTGCACAGGGGGGGACTGGGGACTGGGGGGTTTTTTAAAGGACTTTTCTTTTGGGGTTTTTTTTACATTCCTCATGATTGTAAATTTGTTAATATTTAACTGACTGTTTATGGAGTGAAACCATCCTGTCACGTGAACCATTAAATGTTTCCGGAAAGGGATCTGGATGTCTGGTCTTTTAAAGCCAATATGGACTCCGCTGGGGCAGGATGTGGGCAGCTATTGGTTCGGAGATTAACGTCGCAGACGCTGAAAGGGACTCCTCGGGTGGAAGAGGTTGCTAAACGTGAAGATCTCCCTTGACTCACTTCTGAGGATTTTCAATTCTGCTCATGCAATTTATGAAAAACTCCATGGGAATTCACACCCTTGCTTCCTGCACAGATTCAGCGTAGGTGGACATTGGTCAACCTGAGCATCTTCCAGAATGGCCCTTCACGGGGAAACGCCATCGTTCGATGCAGTAGTAAGTCCTGCCCCACTTAGATTATGGGGCAGAAATGGATCACCTCGGAGGTTAAGAGATTTAATACAGAAGCATTTAAAGGGCAACTGCAACACTATTTTCATATTATGGGGTTAGAATCCTCATTGAGTGCATTTCAAACTGCAATAGTGTAAATTTTACAACCTCCAATTTGCATCACAAAATGGACAACTTCCAGGTATGTGCAGTGTCATAATTGTGAGATTCAGAACAAGGCAAAATAACTTCTGGCGACGAACGCAGCCCTCTGCCAAGCAGGTGTGTGAAGAGGTCTCTTCTAATCCAATAGAAATAATTGGATTTAGAGTTTTGCTGACAAATTACTTGTTTACTCTGCACGCAGATCAAGTTAAAACATGGTGAAATGTCGGCTATACAAGCGCATAAATTCAGGTTCTGTATCTCCTTCCATTAGTCACTAGAGAGACTAGGGAGCAGGAAGGGTTACTTCACATCACAATTTGTGGGGAATTTGAACATAAGTTTGCAACAACATGGTAACTTACAGCAGTTTCACAAAGCTCATGATTTTCTGCTTCAAAATGTGTACTTTTTCTAGAATATCAATGGATTTTGTTATCGGGATTCAATAACATCTGAGAAACTAGGAATGCTGTCCTCATTCAACAAACTTTAAATCTTGGAAATCTCCAGGGATTTTGTGCTGCTGGAGAAGGGCTTTGATAAAGCTGCAGTTTCTTCTTTAGTCAGGCCCCGAAAGGTAGTACGGTCAAAAAGGAGATGGTTAGCCTCCAGAGAAATGCCGGTCTGCTGCAGTAAGTAGTTAGTGGATCAGTAGGTGGTGTGCTGCTTCTCTCTGGAGCACATTTTCTTGCCAGCTGTAGGTGGTGCAGTTCTTCAGGTTGATCTGAGTGGACATTAAAATGACTACCTGGTTACTACAGACATGTGGCACTATAAGCGTAACCCTGCTCTCCTGGCTTCAATTGTCTCCTTAAAGTGCTTCATCAATTAAAGTGATGAAGCAATTTAAGAACATTAACTGTAAACAAGCCTGGTTGGTAGTTAATGGATCCAGCTACTTCTTGAAAGAAGCCAGGGTACTGG